TTGTTGTTATTTTGGGATCAATGCTATTAGTGCAGCTGCCTGCCATATATTCCTCCTTGCTTCCCACCTGCTCTTTCCGTACACGTCCAGTATTTTTGCATTGCAAGGAAACTGGCACTGGAAAGCTGCCTTGGAACTTCTTAGCACTCAGGGAGCAGGAAACAATGTAACACACTCCTCTGAGACGCTCCGCTGGTAGCAAACTCCTGGGGAATGAGAGCAAACACAGGTGCAAACACAGAAAGAGGAAGGGGGAAAATCACTGCCCCCATACTGGCTTTCTTTTTCTCAAATGCAGCCCCCTTTCATGGAGTGCACAAGCCATGCAGAGGTCACTTTTCTCAAAACTGTTTCAGAACTAAATGCACAAACCTAACAATACCTATGTACCCAGAAATAAGTCCAGCTGAATTCAGTGGGGCTGCTGCCAAAGCAAACAGCGTTAGGATTACAACCTAAGTTGTTACGTCCTTTGATATCCTTTTTCTTTTTAATGCCCACAAGTATAAAGTCCAGCGAACATAAACCCGTCATTGTAGGCATTAATATTGTCGTTGGTGGTGGTGTTTAGTCGTTTAGTCATGTCCGACTCTTCGTGACCCCATGGACCAGAGCACGCCAGGCACTCCTGTCTTCCACTGCCTCCCGCAGTTTGGTCAAACTCATGCTGGTAGCTTCGAGAACACTATCCAACCATCTCGTCCTCTGTCGTCCCCTTCTCCTTGTGCCCTCCATCTTTCCCAACATCAGGGTCTTTTCCAGGAGTCTTCTCTTCTCATGAGGTGGCCAAAGTATTGGAGTCTCAGCTTCAGGATCTGTCCTTCCAGTGAGCACTCAGGGCTGATTTCCTTAAGAATGGATAGGTTTGATCTTCTTGCAGTCCATGGGACTCTCAAGAGTCTCCTCCAGCACCATAATTCAAAAGCATCAATTCTTCGGCGATCAGCCTTCTTTATGGTCCAGCTCTCACTTCCATACATCACTGCTGGGAAAACCATAGCTTTAACTATACGGACCTTTGTTGGCAAGGTGATGCCTCTGCTTTTTAAGATGCTGTCTAGGTTTGTCATTGCTTTTCTCCCAAGAAGGAGGCATCTTTTAATTTCATGGCTGCTGTCACCATCTGCAGTGATCATGGAGCCCAAGAAAATAAAATCTCTCACTGCCTCCATTTCTTCCCCTTCTATTTGCCAGGAGGTGATGGGACCAGTGGCCATGATCTTTGTTTTTTTGATGTTGAGCTTCAGACCATATTTTGCGCTCTCCTCTTTCACCCTCATTAAAAGGTTATTTAATTCCTCCTCACTTTCTGCCATCAAGGTTATGTCATCTGCATATCTGAGGTTGTTGATATTTCTTCCAGCAATCTTAATTCCGGTTTAGGGATTCATCCAGCCCAGCCTTTCGCATGATGAATTCTGCATATAAGTTAAATAAGCAGGGAGACAATATACAGCCTTGTTGTACTCCTTTCCCAATTTTGAACAAATCAGTTGTTCCATATCCAGTTCTAACTGTAGCTTCTTGTTTCTCAGAAACTGAGAGATTTCTCAGAAGACAGATGAGGTGATCAGGCACTCCCATTTCTTTAAGAACTTGCCATAGTTTGCTGTGGTCCACACAGTCAAAGGCTTTTGCATAGTCAATGAAGCAGAAGTAGATGTCTTTCTGGAACTCTCTAGCTTTCTCCATAATCCAGCGCATGTTTGCAATTTGGTCTCTGGTTCCTCTGCCTCTTCTAAATCCAGCTTGCACTTCTGGGAGTTCTCGGTCCACATACTGCTTGAGCCTGCCTTGTAGAATTTTAAGCATAACCTTGCTAGTGTGTGAAATGAGTGCAATTGTGCGGTAGTTGGAGCATTCTTTGGCACTGCCCTTCTTTGGAATTGGGATGTAGACTGATCTTCTCCAGTCCTCTGGCCACTGCTGAGTTTTCCAAACTTGCTGGCATATTGAGTGTAGCACCTTAACAGCATCATCTTTTAAAATTTTAAATAGTTCAGCTGGAATACCATCACTTCCACTGGCCTTGTTATTTGCAGTGCTTTCTAAGGCCCATTTGACTTCACTCTCCAGGATGTCTGGCTCAAGATCAGCAACTACACTACCTGGGGTGTATGAGACATCCATATCTTTCTGGTATAATTCCTCTGTGTATTCTTGCCACCTCTTCTTGGTGTCTTCTGCTTCTGTTAGGTCCTTACCACTTTTGTCCTTTATTATTAGTACTAATAAATATGCTGGCATGCTGAAATTCTATACCCACATGAAGCTACTCATTAAAAAAGCAATTATTTTTGAAAGATTTCTGGAGCACTTCAGCACCTGCTAATGAACATGGTTACATAGGTGGAGCGTGCTTTCCTGCCAACTGTAAATATAATCCTTTTCTAAGAAAAGTACGGAAGGAAGTATAGATTAGGTGTGTGTAGAAAAAGCTTAACAACATAAGATGGGCCATGCCTACAACTTTTTAGTCAAATTATACATACACCCTCACAAATTTTTTATGTCACCCATCTTATTTACATGCACACAAATGCTCACATTAAAAAACAACACCCTGAGTTTTGAAAGGGGCCAAAAAGCTTATTCCCTCCCCAATCTTTCTTTCTTTATGCTGGTTCACAGCCCCAGAACAATGCTGCTTTAGGACTTCTTTGCTGCGGGTGATCCATATCAATCAGGGTTCATATAGCTCATATTACGTTTGGTTCCTGACAATGTTGCTATGACCAAATAAAGCTCTCACATGCGGGGAGGGGAAATGGTCCTTGTTGCCAAGGCAACCGCAAGATGCTCCCCATCTTGTTGTGTTCGCAGATCCATTGCCTGCCCATGCTGCACAGCAAGACTCTTGCCCGAATTCCACTCTAGCTACATGCAGTTCTGCATGACTAGATGTGGCAGAATATGAATGGGAATGTGTTGCTGGATGATTATCCCTGACACTGACATATGAATAACATTATATAGCAACTCATTAACAATCTGTGATTAGGTTGTATGCAAAGTCGCCCAATGTCCACTCTCTTACAAACTCTTTTGTACCCTTTCACAGATATGGAAAATAAAAAAGGAGGGACTATCTCAGGACAGGGAAGGACTCAGGAAAAGCAAAAAACACCTACAGTGGTGCCTTGGGTTAAGTACTTAATTCGTTCCGGAGGTTCGTTCTTAACCTGAAACTGTTCTTAATCTGAAGCATCACTTTAGCTAATGGGGCCTCCTGCTGCTGCTGTGCTGCCGGAGCATGATTTCTGTTCTCATCCTGAAGCAAAGTTCTTAACCTGAAGCACTATTTCTGGGTTAGCGGAGTCTGTAACCTGAAGCGTATGTAACCTGAGGTACCACTGTATTTGGGTTTAACACTAATGCTTCTGGGGAAGAATCAAACTTAGTACTGCCTATAAATTCTAATGAAAAGCCTAAAGTCCAAGATTTGGTTGGTTTCTTCAAAGATCCAATTTCTTGGCTCTTATTGCTTCTCTGTACTCTTTTCTCTTCTATCCTTGAACTTCCCTAGTTTTTTTAATTTCTTCTGAGACTTTATCATCCACAAAGTTACTTCTGTCCCAAGAGCCTGTGTGAAGTTGTATTCCCAGCAACAAATCTGACAACATTCCTTTCCATCACAGAAGTTATAGCACAAACTTTCTGACAGCTTTGCTCCAGGGCAGTTGTGATGGTCATGAATATTTTGTGCCATACCACCAGCTTAGCCAACTGTGTTAAAAGGTTCGCAAACACAATAAGACAAGAGGGAAACTTTGAAGGGGAGGAGCTATGCCTGGTTTATAAGAGAGCTAGCGTACTTGATAGCAGTGCTGGCTTCAGGTTCCATGCGATCTGCATATTTCTCCATTTGCTGAAGAAGTATGAAATGAGGTTCAATCCTGGAGATCTCATCCTGCTTCATCTGAGAGTTATGTTATTGTTTATATGTGCAATGAGACTGGGATGACCTACAAGCACTTGGCAGTTCTCTGTATTATCATTACGCTGCCTTTTGTCAAAACCATTTAATCAATTGCATCATCTTCATTTCAACATACTGGCCTGGACTCAACATTCTCTGAGTACTGGTTCAAGGAGCTGTTGCACTGGAGTAAAGGCAAAAATAATGGTTCTACAATATGAAATCCAGTGCAACGGATGCAGAAGCTTGCTGTGCAACCAGAAGTGTTGGGGCTACATCAATCTGCTATACAACCAGCCAGCAGAACCATGCTGGCTTCCTTCCCTTCCCTGGTGTAACTGGTATACCGCTTAGTAGTATACTGCACTAGTATGCTAGTGCAACTAGTATACCACCAAGTGACTTTAACTTAGCATGATGCTGAACTCCTCCCATTGGCTGCTTCTTCTGATGCTTTGTACTGACTTGTAGCTCCAGTCACACACACACCCTACTGTGTACTCTTTCTGTGGCCCTGCATCCTGGCAGGCACTTTAAATATCTGTCCTCATAAAATGTGGCAATACAGTTTCTTGTTCTGACGAAATGGAAGTGTATTGAGTAGGAAAGGTAGAAGAGCAAGCAGCGAGGGAGAGACCTGCTTCAGAGGAAGGGTGTCTAAGGTCTTCATCTAATCGTAAAGCACAAAGAATACTCAAAGGAAAGTTAGCTGTATCAGACAGCCCAATTTTTAATAAAACCTTGTTAGATATTACAATTGATTATGCATTAGAGTGAAATACACATATAACTGAGGACACATTTTACCAGTGCATTTTTAAGAATTGGTAAGTCATAATTCTGTCATTTACTTTTTAAATTAAAGCTATATCCCACCTAACCATGACTGGGGGGGGGGGGAATTGTACAAGTATTTTTCATGGCTGAAACCCCCCTTGGCAAGATACAGGAAATATTCAGGAAGCATTTAGTGCTACCACTACCGAAATATTCTCCCACCTGCCTAAGAGACACAATACTGTCTATAAGATGCCCACATTCACCGTTTAAAGGCACCAGTGCAATACTTCTGGAATTTAAACTAATTAGAAAGAATGCACTTAGTCTTAATCAAATCATTTTCTTCTTTCATTCCAAAGGATTCTGAATCATATGCCCACACAGCATCAATGCCCTCTCCAAAGCTGTGCTTTGGTCTCCAGTGGGGGAAAGGAAAGCGGCAGGCAATGACCCTGGCATCTGACGCCAGCTCTTCACCAAGCTTCTCCTCTAGCTGCAGCATCTGTGAAGGAACAAAACCACACAAAACCCCTTCAGACGGTGGGGAGGACATGGTGTTCACCACTAGGATATGTACACGAATAACTAACTGGGTATATAAAACATTAGCTTTCCAGTGCTTGACAGAGAACATCCAGGAACTGCCAATTCATTTCGAAGTTAGGCAAGGGACGACCTACTGTGGAACATGCATGTCAAACAATGTATGGAATTATAAAATCAAGTGAGGACTAAATGTCAGAAGACTTCGGCAGAACCTTAGAATCACCTTGGAAGACTTCAGTGGGCTGGAAGAGGGATGCAAGAATTAAAAGAGGTTTGCTGAGTGTGGAATAAGACACTGGCTGTACAGAAATGTTGATAGCAAATGAGCAGAAGACACAGCAGACGTAGCCTGCGATAAGCACTCTGTAGAGGAAGGAAGGCTCTATGCACTTGAATGGTTGTGGGGAAACGTCTGGAGAGTTTCACATTTTAGCAGCAGTTTCTACCCCTTTTTAAATTTTTATTATTAAAGATTTTCATGCTTTACAAAAGGACATGCCTTGTCTCCTTTTTCAAGTTGTACAGTCTTTTCTACTGATCAGTTACATTTGTTATGGGACACTAGTGTTGAGTACAGTATAAGGTCAGGAAGAAGAGGGGGGAAGAGGAGGGGTGACATTTATTTTTTTTGCAGTGTACGTGTGGGGTTTTGTGTCTATTTGCTGGTTACGTTTCCTTGGTAGTGAGAGGCTGGGGGCCCAAGGAGTGGTTGTCTGTGATGGGATTTGTTTGCCTTTGTGAGGAGAGGAGAACTTGTTGGGTCAAGGAAGCCAGATTGATTTGTATGCTGTCGGCGGGTTCTTGTCGTTGTCTTGTTGGGCTGTGTATGTGATAAAGGGGAGCCATACTGGGGCGAAGACGTCCTCTTTTATTTGTCCCCGTGTCAGTTTCAGTTTATTGGTTAGCTTTTCTAATAAGCTGTTTCTACTCCCCACCCCCCCAAACATAAAACAAGGATTCTGTCCTACCTATTCATTAAAAAGGTTCTACTTGATTTCTATATACCAACATTCTAGATAATTTTATGATTCAATAACAGAAACTTACCATTTGAGGTACTCCAAATATAACAATATTTGTGTACTGGGAAAAACTGACCTATTAAAAAAAAGGTAGTCATAAATATTCATCCTCTAAAAATTCTGTTTGTCTGTCTACTTAGTACAGACCATATGTGTGTAACGTGATGAAAAAGTACATCTAGTTCTTTCTTTTACACTCTAAGAAGCAGAAAATCTGTATTTAAGTTAAATTAAACATTTTGCTCCAGCTGCCTAATGGCAGCACTGCACTGCAGTGGAGATCCCTGCTCTGCTTCTACATATGGACGACAGAAGGAAACTGGTGCTGAGTTTTGCTACTTTGACTTGCCTGCCACTAAAAAACACCTATCTGAATTTCTGCTGCATAAGCATATGAAAGTCTCATTTTCTAAACTTATCTTCTAAACAATTCATTTTGTGTGTTCTTCCTAGGCTTTACTTCCTTTGGAAGAAGCCCAGATTGGTCTCTAAGCTGGGATACTGATCATATTACACTCAAGAACAAACTTTCTAGGTTAAGGTTTCTTAAGAAGAGAGATATTTCTAATATTTAACAAGGAATAAATAATTTGGTAGGCTGGTCCAATATTAAAGATTCCTGTTCCAGTCTTTTTATGTTTCTCTTTCATTATATTTTCATGAATTTCAAACATAATGATATTATATGAGAGGAACTGCTTAGTCTACCACCCTCTGAAAAGCTCCTGTTTCTTTTAAAGTCACTGCCATCTAACAACTAACTCTCATGAGAACATATCAGATTAACACTGAAAAGATAACCTGCTTATTCACTAACTCTGATGGAACTTGTATTCCAAAACAACTTGTGGGTTCTGGGTTGGGGATGGCCAATTAATTTAAATACAGCAATGAAAAGAGTCAGATCAAAACCAGGAGATAAAGAATTCAAACAACTGGGAGCAGCAAGGAAGAAATGGTGAGGTTCAGTAGTGGAAATTAATTTAATTCCTTTGAAATGTTTGTTAGCTGTTTTCCTCAAAAGCTCAAAGTGGCCTACAATAAATAAAATAGCAAGACAACACCATGAAATCCCAGTGTTACAAACACAAAAGATAACAGCATTCAAAAACTTCCAGTTCCCACAGCTCAGATAATAACTTTTAGCCAGAGAAACAGAACTTTTTGCCATTTGGGCTTCAAAAGGACAACGAAACAAGATTACAGAATACAAGGAGAACAGAAAAAAGGAGTTCTGTGACCATTAAAGATGAGCAAAATAGATTAGGGAAGTTGAATTCAAGACAGAGGAAAGAGAGAAGACACCAAGCAGAGAGTGTTGAAAGAGTTATAGGAGAGAGAGAGAGGTTTAGTTGCGTTAAAGGAGAGAAAGGATGTCTTTGGTAGACATTACAAAAGGGAAAGCGACACGACTTCACACTGAATGAATGTGGGCTTGTACATAGATAAAGCCAGAGAGAAACCCAGTCTTCTATGTGTCCTATCTAAAGAGCAGCACAGTGCAACCACCCCACCCTGCAAATCCAGATTGTGACAGGTGTTGGGAGGTGGCAGACCTAAAGACCCACGCGCTCTTATGACCTCTAGTCAGGGCCGGCCCAAGACATTTTGGTGCCTGAGGCAAACCACAAAAGAGTGCCCCCTTCACCATCAGGGAAGAAGGGGTGAGTGAAGACCTACATCAGGAACAAGGAGGGGAGAATCAAATTTACCTGATCTGATGGTTGGGTGGGAATCAAAGGCCGCCACAGGGGGAAAGGGCCCCACTCTGAATCACGCTGTGCAGGTGCAGAGTTGAGAAGACCCTAGAAGGCAGCCCCCGCCATTTCCTCCCTAGGCGTAGCAGGAGATCCGCAGCCTATTTGCCAAAAGGCCGCTGTGGAGGTGGCACTGAGGAGGTGGCTGAAAAGGAGGGGGCAGATTTGGCATCCGAGGAGGAGGATGCAGCAGCAGCAGGTGATGCCTCCCTTGGAGACCAGATCTGCTGCTCCTGAGGATCTTGCCGCCCAAGATGGTCGCCTCACCTTGCCTAATGGGTGGGCTATCCGGCCTCTAGTTTGGCCCAAAGACAGACACAAACAAAAAGGTTGAAGAAAGGGGGAAAGGAGAATTGCCATTTTGCCTCTGGTTTTAATTTAATTTAATACGTGTGCTCCAATTCTTATTTCCCATTGGAATTTCAATATTAGTATGCAGCATTTTTTTAAAAGTTAAAAGCCATATTCAATATTGCAACTGACCATTTCACTAGCATCGCTGATAGTTGTAAATGTTCTCGTACCTTCCATAAGTCTGAAATGTAAAATTTGGTATCCTGATGAACTCCTTCTCTCCAGGCACAGTACCTGGAATACCACACGAGCCAAGGATTTAATTCATAACCAACAGCTTTGAATCCAACTTTTGCAGCTGCTATTACCTGCAAAAAGATAAATCAGTCTTTGTTCAGTAAAATAAACAGATTCCTTGGGACACTGAATATTAGAACTTGGTATTCTGTGAAAATACAGAAATAATTTAAATAAGGCAAACATACATCAGGATCTTAGGCATGTATAGCAGTGTATACAGAGTTCAATGGGATTTAATTTTTATTGCACGTACAGGTGAAACTTGAAAAATTAGAATATCGTGGAAAAGTTCATTTATTTCAGTAATTCAACTTAAAAGGTGAAACTAACACATGAGATAGACTCATGACATGCAAAGCGAGATATGTCAAGCCTTTATTTGTTATAATTGTGATGATTATGGCGTAAAGCTGATGAAAACCCCAAATTAACAATCTCAGAAAATTAGAGTATTAAATGAAATCAGCAAAACAAGGATTGCAAAATAGAGCAATATTGGACCTCTGAGAAGTAGAAGCAAGCATATGTACTCTGTACTTGGTTTGGTCCCCTTTTGCATCAATTACTGCCTCTATGCGGCGTGGCATGGATGGTAACAGCCTGTGGTACTGCTGAGGTGTTATGGAAGACCAGGATGCTTCAATAGCAGCCTTCAGCTCTTCTGCATTGCTCGGTCTCATGTCTCTCATCTTTCTCTTGGCAATGCTCCATAGATTCTCTATGGGATACAGGTCAGATGAGTTTGCTGGCCAATCAAGCACAGTAATCCCATGAGCACTGAACCAGGTTTTGGTACTTTTGGCAGTGTGGGCAGTGACAAAGTCCTGCTGGAAAATGAAGTCAGCATCCCCATAAAGCTCATCTGCAGAAGGAAGCATGAAGTGCTCCGAAATTTCCTGGTAGACGGCTGTGTTGACCCTGGACTTAATGAAGCACAGTGGACCAACACCAGCTGATGACATGGCTCCCCAAATCAGCACAGACTGTGGAAACTTCACACTAGACTTCAAGCATCTGGCATTGTGTGCCTCCCCACTATTCCTCCAGACTCTGGGTCCTTGGTTTCCAAATGAGATGCAAAAGTTGCTCTCATTAGAAAAGAGGACTTGGGACCACTGAGCAACAGACCGGTTCTTTTTTTCTTTAGCCCAGGTAAGACACTTCTGACGTTGTTTCTTGTTCAGGAGCAGCTTGACAAGAGGAATACAACATTTGAAGCCCATCTCCAGGATCCGTCTGTGTGTGGTGGCTCTTGATGCACTAACTCCAGCCTCAGTCCACTCCTTGTGAAAGTCCCCAATACGTTTGAGTGGTCTTTTTCTGACAATCCTCTCCAGGCTGCGGTCATTCCTGCTGCTTGTGCACCTTTTTCTTCCACACTTTTCCCTTCCACATAACTTTCCATTAATGTGCTTCAATACAGCACTTTGGGAACATCCAACTTCTTCTGCAATCACCGTTTGAGGCTTTCCCTCCTTATGGAGGGTCTCAATGATGGCTTTCTGCACAACTGTCAGGTCAGCAGCCTTCCCCATGATTGTGCTTCCTACTGAACCCATTGCAGATGTTATGGATTGAATAGCTACTGCACCTTTTCACAATATTCTAATTTTCTGAGATTGTTAATTTGGGGTTTTCATCAGCTGTACGCCATAATCATCACAATTATAACAAATAAAGGCTTGACACACCTCACTTTGCATGTCATGAGTCTATCTCATATATTAGTTTCACCTTTTAAGTTGAATTTCTGAAATAAATGAACTTTTCCAAGATATTCTCATTTTTCGAGTTTCATCTGTATATATGACAGGAATCATAAAAGGAATGTTTTCTTGTTGAAGCAATTATCTGTTCAATTGCAGATCTCAGCCTTGAAAATATCTGAATAAATCGATTTGGCTATTCACTTTAATGGGAATCTGTCAATTTGTTCATAACAAGCAGGTGATGCAATCGTTTGGAGCCACTTCTATCAGGGTTGCCTGATAATGTATTTTCTCCTGCAATAGTTTAAAAAGACAAGAGCTGCAACTTCTTCCATCATGCTCCACCCTTGGTCCCGTTGCCCACATGCCTGCTGAGAGGTGGTCAGAGAAATCCAAACCACCCTTCCTCCAGGGCTCTTCCAGATGAGCTGGCAGGGGGTTGGACTCGATGGCCCTTGTGGTCTCTTCCAACTCTATGATTCTATTCTATGGTCTCCTGCCAGCTTCCAAATGAGGCATTCCGGGGGGGGGGGGAGCAGGCAGGGCTGAACCACTCTAGGATCTGATGAATCTACCTCTTTTCGAAATCGGAATCAGTGAAGGCGGTGAAGGTCCTGTGTGAGTGTCTGGAGGAGGTTGGAGGATGAATGGCGGCTAACAGATTGAGGTAGACTCTCGACAAGACAGAAGTACTGTTTTGGGGGGACAGGGGGCGGGCTGGTGTGGAGGACTCCCTGGTCCTGTCGGGGGTAACTGTGCCCCTGAAGGACCAGGTGCGCAGCCTGGGAGTCATTTTGGACTCACAGCTGTCCATGAAGGCACAGGTCAATTCTGTGTCCAGGGCGGCTGTCTACCAGCTCCATCTGGTACGCAGGCTGAGACCCTACCTGTCTGCGAACTGTCTCGCCCGAGTGGTACTACTCTGTCATGCGCTCTCCATGGCTCTACATGACTGCCATGCGCTCTACATGGAGCTACCTTTGAAGGTGACCTGGAAACTACAACTAATCCAGAATGTGGCAGCTTGACTGGGGACTGGGAGCAGCCACCGAGACCATATAACAAAGGTCCTGAAAGACTTACATTGGCTCCCAGTACGTTTCCAAGCACAATTCAAAGTGTTGGTGCTGACCTTTAAAGCCCTAAATGGCCTCGGCCCAGTATACCTGAAGGAGCGTCTCCACCCCCATCGTTCAGCCTGGACACTGAGATCTAGTGCCAAGGGCCTTCTGGGGGTTCCATCACTGCGAGAAGTGAAGTTACAGGAAACCAGGTAGAGGACCTTCTTGGTAGTGGTGCCCACCCTGTAGAACGCCCTCCCACCAGATGTCAAAGAAATAAACTATCGGACTTTTAGAAGACATCTGAGGGCAACCCTGTTTAAAGAAGCTTTTAATACTAGATGAATCATTGTATTTTAATATTCTGCTGGAAGCCGCCCAGATGGGCGGGGTATAATTTATTATTATTATATCAAGCTAGTCTCACAGTCATCACTGGCTTAGGCCTGATCTCAACCCAACTGCTGGGCCCGGCTGGACCTGGCACAGGGACGAGGCCCAGCCATCATCATCCCTCAGCAACCAGCCTGTGACTGCAGCAGCACCGCTCTGCAAAGCCCTGCCAGGCTTGGGGTTAGAATGGAAGCCTAAACCAGGAAGTTAAGAAGTCACAGAAACTCTGCCTCCCTCTCATTTTTCCTCTTGTCCTTTTGTCCTAGGACGTGGAGTCCCAACTGCTAGAGCAGCAGGGAGTGTGCAAAATGCCTGGGATGGTGGACAGGGCAGGAAAAGTCGAGGTGCTTCAACACCCGACTTAGCAGCAGATTTTAAAGTGCCCATGTGTGTGGCAGGGGACACTGGACGGCAGCTGGCAGCTCTACTGATGTGCTTTATAGTTCAAATGCAATGCTCATGATTGGCAAGTCAACTGGAAACATCTCCAATTAAAAGATTTAGGTAGCAGGACTGGGAAAGAAACCTCTGCCTGGGAGCTGCTGCCAGTGAGACCAAACAAGACAGGACTGCATGCGCCAATGGATCCGTCAAAGCAGCTTCATGTGTTCCTACGTCTCACCCAGTCCTAGCCCTGTATGAAAGCTTCATACACTTTGAGCTCAGTGCCACAAAGGTCAACATGCACTAGAATGGCTCCAACAAGAACAAAACCTGACTTTGACTCACAATGCGCCCATCACCACTACCGATATCAACCAGGGGTCCATTTCTGCCCTTTAGCATCCTCAGGACATTTTCAACCTGCTTTGAAGTTGCAGGGACATATGGCAGGCAATGCCTCCTCAGCGCAGGGGCAATAAATGGCGTGGCAACAGAGTACAGGGCCACTAATGTCCCACCAATAACGCCGGTGACCAGTAAGCCCCAGTTCCTTTGTTTAGGGCCCTCATCAGAGGTCATCAATGGCATCATGTCTTGCGCTGTGTTGCCTCCAGAAAGTTTTTCCGGCATACCAAAAATACCTAGAAAAGGGAAAACATTTATTATACAAGAGAATGTCTATTAAGCTTATATTCTTACACCCCAATTTCAACAGGAGCTATTATATGAGAAACAGCCCTGCTGGATCAGGCTGTCCAATCTTACATCTTGTTTCCAGCACAGACAATTCAGATATATTTGAGAAGGCATAATGGCAACAGCCCCCCTCCTGCTGTTTGTCCCTCACTAACGGGCATTCTGGTCCATGGGGTCACGAAGAGTCGGACATGACTAATCAACTAAACAACAACAAACTGGCATTCAAAGGTATCCAGACTCTGAACAAGGCGGGTCCATTAAGGATTAGATAAATTTACCATTCACAAATTTATCTAATTCCCTTTTAAAGCTGTCTGAGCGATGGGCCGCCACATCTTGTAGCAGCAAATTTCATTAGTTAATTATACATGAAGTTCATGTTTAAATCTCTCGCATTCACAGCAGCAGGATTTAAAAATTCCTGGCTTTGGGAATATCATGCCTCTGCTTTCTAATTTAAAACATCAATTTCCTTTCTGGACTGTGCCTCTTGTCAACACTGTCTCAAATTGTATTAACAAAAATGAATTATGACAGAAACTGAATTATGCCTCAGTTCTGTTCTCATTTAAACAGTACAAAATATACATACACAATCTAGTATTAATACATACTACCCAGTCTCGCAGGATCGGAATAATGAAGGATGATCTCTCATCAGAAATATTTCCTTTGGCATTTCTACTGTAACGTTCATTGGTGTTCTAACACTTGAAATGTTAATGTTCCTTCGTAAATTGGATTCTATTTGCAATGGGGGTGGGGGGGAATCTGGAAAACACCATATGATATATAAGCTCACTATGCAAATATACTCCTTTTGAATGCATTATCAGAATCACTGAGAATTCAGAAACACTCAGCCTGATCCTAAGCTTGTTTATTCAGAAGCAGGTCCAACTGATCTGAGTGGGACTTACATGTGAGAAGCATGCATAGGATTAGGCTGTTCATTTCACTGCAAGTTCTGCAACGAAATGAGCAGTCTAACCCTGTGCAGGCCTACTCACCTGTAAGCCCCACACGCTGCAGAATATGCCACAAGCCACATTCTGTAGACCAGAGACATTTATTGAAGGCCATCTGCTCTACCCTATGGAGAGTTAGGCCTGCTGATTCCAACAGCCCTTGTTATCCCCCATTTTGCATAGGATTGGGCTGTGAATATTCATGATGTGCACTGTATGGCATATGAAAGAACCGTTATAGTAACAAAACAGGGGGAAAACAATGGCCACAAACAGCTATGCAGCAAGATAATAGAATGTAATACAGTGGTATCTCAGGTTACATACGCTTCAGGTTACAGACTCCGCTAACCCAGAAATAGTGCTTCAGGTTAAGAACTTTGCTTCAGGATGAGAACAGAAATCGTGCTCCGGCGGTGCGGTGGCAGCGGGAGGCCCCATTAGCTAAAGTGGTGCTTCAGGTTAAGAGCAGTTTCAGGTTAAGAACGGACCTCCGGAACGAATTAAGTACTTAACCCGAGGTGCCACTGTATTGGAAGTCAAAAACATCTAAGCCTGGCCTGGAATACCTTTTATCAGCTTTTTTCTGATTTGCCAACTGCAATCCTATCTACATGGATTTATCTGCTTTGGTTATCCACGTTCTGGTAATCTACCCTTTGGACAAATTCAATGCAGCATTTGTGGTTCTGCCTTTGAAAACAGGCCACAAACTTCAGCTTGTCCAGAATAGGGTTGTAAGACTGTTAACTGGGGCTGGCCCATCTAACCATATTAGCTAAAGGTAAAGGACCCCTGGGCGGTTAAGTCTGGTCAAAGGTGACTATGGGATTGCAGTGCTCATCTCGCTTTCAGGCCGAGGGAGCTGGCGTTTGTCCACAAACAGATTTCTGGGTCATGTGGCCAGCAGGACTAAACTGCTTCTGGCGCAACAGGACACTGTGATGGAAGCCAGAGTGCACAGAAACGCCATTTACCTTCCTGCCACAGCGGTACCTATTTATCTAGTTGCACTGGCATGCTTTCGAACTGCTAGGTTGGCAGGAGCTGGGACAGAGCAACGGGAGCTCAGACTCAGCGGTTTAGACCACAGTGCCACCTGCGTCCTTAGCATATTATGATAGTGCTGTCATCTGCATTGGCTTCCAGTCAGTTTCCAGACCCAGTTCCAGGTGCTGATGCTGACTTGTAAAGTCCTAAACAGCCTGGGACTGCCTCCTCCCATATGTCCCAAGCCAGACACTGAGATTATCTTCCATCAGGGAATGGGTATCTCTTTTTTGGGGGGGGGTACACTTTTCAGTATCGGGCAAAATGTTTTTCTTTTCCTGGGCTTTTTAAACTCTCAAGAATCCAAGTAGTTATTGCAGCTTCCGGTTCCAGTTGCCTCAATGGTGCAGCTTCCACAACAACGGGAGATTGGTGGCGAAGGAATAAACAAAGATGACTGAGGGTAATTATCTTTGTAAACTCCCCCAACCCTGGGGGGAGTTTCACTCGCAGATCATCTCGGTACCTGGCTTTCGCTCTGACATGGAATGCGGGAGGCAGGGAGGCGCTGAATGAAAAAGCACTTCACCTGTTGGTAATCCTCCAACAGCGCCATTAAGAAGGAGCAGTTCTTCTGTTCATTAATAATTTAATTAGGATTAATGCACAGATTAATGCACAGAGGTGTGCTGGTAATGATGGGACAAGATTAAGGATTGCTGAATTGAAATACAGTGGTACCTCTGGTTGCGAACGGGTTCCTTTCTGGAGGCCCGTTCACAACATGAAAAGAGTGCAACCCACAGTGGCGCGTCTGCGCACACGCGGGTTGCGATTCGCCGCTTCTGTGCATGACATCATTTTGCGCTTCTGCGCATGCGGCGAAACCTGGAAGTAACCCTTTCCGGTACTTCCAGGTCGCCGCAGGACGTAAGCTGAAAGAACGTAACATGAAGAGGACGTAACATGAGGTATGACTGTAGCTACAAGGTCGTACAGATTTAAATTCGAATGATGACTTCATTCGATCTAAAAAACGGTATGTGTTGCAGAGGGGAGCCAATGGCTTCGTTATAAATACTTTCTTACATAAAAGACTCAGCAACGCCCCCAAGAAAGCCCCCCCCCCAATTCTTTTCTCATATAGCAAGTGAAGATGAAGGGAGATGGGAGTATAGATATGGATTACAATGACAAATGGAACTGTGTGAGGGAAACATAACAGTATGGAATAATTTTTAAAAGACTGGGAATCTACTGAGTTAATTCTTATTTTTCCCCTGACTGAGGGGAGGACGGATTGGACTTTGAGGACTTGCCAAGGCTTTGGCGGGGCACCAGATCACTCTTCTACGAGTAATTTTAGCTAATTTCTTCAGTTGGACAGAGAAGGGAGAGCTTGGAAGCTTGCCAGGGCTAAGGCAGGGCGCCAGGGAAATCCCCCCCCCCGGACTGAAAGTAATGGCGATGGAATTTTAAGGCTGCAATCAGAGGGCCTAGAGAACGAAAGAGGAGTGATCTCTTTAGAGTGACACAGAGTCAACAGCGCCATAAGGCACGAAGGAGACCAGGAACAACCAAGATGGGCATAATATTTACAAAGACATAAAAGAACAATTGATTAAGATTAATACCTGACACAGGAAGAAGAAAGGATAACTTCACTAGCGAACTTATATATTACTAAATGTGTTAATACAAATTGAAGTTAAATCATTGTAACTGTGATATAAGGGATTTTATCAAGATTGGATTGTAATTGGATTGAGTAATAGTTTGGAAGCAGAATTAAAGGGAATTAGTAGACCTTGAAGTACAGCATGCAGGGGGCCACTTAAATTTTATAATTGGTTATGTTATTGATTTGTATTTGAATTGGCATTGTAATTTGGTATTGATATACAGTGGAACCTCTACTTACGGACATAATCCATTCCGGAGTTCCTTTTGCTGGTCGAAACGGGTCGCTAGAAGAGGCATCTTGTGCATGTGCGCATTCAGCGGCAGCCACTTCCGTGCATGCGCGAATCACAGCAAACCTGGTGTTTACTTCCGGGTTTGCTGCGGATGCAACTTGGAATGTTTGCAAGAAGAGGCTTATGTAAGTCGAGGCTCCACTGTAATAAGGCCTATACTGGATTTCTGCAATTGAAAATTAATAAGACTTATTTCCAAGTAGTTGTCCATGCACTGTTGCTTCAGCAGAGGTGTCTGCTAATGGAAGGGGCAGCAATTTTTGCAAATTCTTTCTCCCCCTGTCACCTCCCTGCACTCCAAATATCTGTTCTGGAAAGTTGGTGGAACCCTCCAAAATATGTTTTAAGATGGATGCAAGGGGGAACTGGCAAAAACTGCTTACCCTCCCCCTCCATTAGCAGACAACTCCGATAAAAAAACCCTTGCCTGCCAGAGTACCAATTGGATAAAGCCCTTTACTTCAAAATCTAAACCCCGAGTTCGCATGTGTTGGATTTTTTTTATTCCGATTTTGTTTTCCTCTTTATACTTAGTTTATAGTTGTAGTATATTGCACTGGAAATCACTCATTCTTGCAGCTTGTTACTAGACAGCCTGTAAATACAGTATTAATAAATTAGTAGGCCGTTGTTGTCGGACCCGCGGCTTCATCCAGGTCAAACCTTACCTGGCATTTACCACAATTTCGAAGAAAGAGGGAGAAGGAGGGCGGCGGGGAAAGTGAACAGAGGGAGGCAAAGAACGGCCCCGAGGAGGGAAAGGAAAGCTGCCGGGATTCCGAAGCAGAACTCGCAAGACTCGAGGCCGAGGCGGGCGCCGGCCTCCCAGGCCCCGCGCAGAGCCCGCCCGCGGGGCAGGGAGGGAGGGACGCCAAGCGCGCCAACTCCGGGCAGAAGCCTCAGGGAGGCCGCCACTCCGGGCAGACGGCACCATTGTGGTCCCCGAAGGGGGGGGACAGGGCGTCCCCCGGAGTGAAGGGATTCCTTGCCTGCATCCACTGCGAAGCCAAAGGATACCGTCGAGTTCAGAAGAGCCTCCGCCACCTGGCTGCTCCTCGAAGCGAGGCCGCAGGGGGGAAAGGGCAGCCTCCGCTTCCGAATTCAGGATTTCCCTCCCCCGCCCCGCCTAGGCTGGTTGGCGCATAGAGATAGGAAACCCGCAGAGCGGCACAACAAAAGCTTTCAGGCTCGCAAAGCCCTGGAGGCGGGAGGGGGAGCTGCCCGCAGAGAACATGGAGAAATCCAGGGCTTTAGTTGAGCTGAGACTGGCGCCCTCTCCCGGAGAGAAGGCGGCGGCAGAGACAGGAGTCCATCATCGCAGATGATGGAAGAGGTGCTGACAGGGGCTTGTTTTTGTTGGGACTTATTTGTATTGGATGCGGGTCCGTTATAAGAACTGCGATCTTCGTGGCGCATGTTGGTTCGCTTCCTTGTAAACCGCCTCGCGTAGACCAACACAGGAAGGCGGTATACAAAAGAAACGACGTAGATGGGTTAAACACGTAGCGTAGAGAGGCTTTCGCTTTTAAGCCGGAAGTTCAGATGGTAACCCCTCCCTCTATCTCTATGACGGTTGGGCGTGACCGTAGCGCATGCGCGCTCGCGCCTCTGCCCCAGACGCTTCCAGAACCGTTTGGGCGAGGTGCCGTCGGGAGGTTCTCGCGAGACGGGAGCGACAGCGGGAGTTGGCGTTTCCCTCACGCGGCCGCTCCGAGGTCTCCATCCCTTTCTCTGCCTCCCGCCGCCATGTCGGCCATGGGGACTCTGGCATTCGACGAGTACGGGCGGCCCTTCCTCATCCTCAAGGACCAGGAGCGGAAAAGCCGCTCCACCGGCATAGAGGCCCTCAAGGTACGCGGCGGGCGGGCGGGCGGGCGGGGGAGGCCGGCGCTCGGATTCAAAGGCCGATCCTGGTCCTGCAAGAGCCGCCTCACGCCGCCGCCGTTACCCGCCTCTCTCCTGGCGGGCTCTCGCTGCTCCTTGGTGGGGCATCTCGGAGCCGCCGCCTCGCTCCGGCCCCTTGGCGCGGAGCTCCGGCCCCCTCCCTGTGGCGCGTGTTCGTGCCCCCTCAGCCCCCCCTTCGGGAGTTGGACCCCTCCCGCCAACTGCCGCCCCTTCTCTGTTCGCGCTCCCGGCAGGCCGCCTTGTTTTATTTCCCCCGACCCTCCTTCTACACCAGGGGTCTGCAGACTTTTCCCGCCGGGCCGGTCCACCGTCCCTCAGACCTTGTGGCGGGCCGGACTGCATTCCTATGCCCCACAAATGACCCAGAGATGCATTTTAAATAAAAGGACACATTCTGCTCATGTAAAAACACACTGATTCCCCGACAGTCCAGGGGCCAGATTTAGAAGGCGACTGGGCCGGATCTGGCCCCCGGGCCTTGGGTTGCCTACCCATGTTCTACACCTTCTTTTCCCCTTCCCGTCCCTTTCTGTTTTCGTCTCTCTTTGGAGCGTTTGACAGAATTGATCGGGATCCTTGACGATCCAGAGGGACAGGAATGTCGTCACACTGCACTAACCGTTTGAAAGCTTTTTGGGGGGGGGGGGTGAACGAGAGAGAGCTCCTTTCCTTTCATTTTGAAAGTTTCGGAAAGGAGCTAACACCCTGCCTAGCAAATACTCTCCATGTTCTTAGAGACACGAAAATGATGCAGTCATTCAGGTTGTATAATTCATCTGTATGTACAGATTCAATTACAGAAAGAATTATATGAATGGTTACATTTCTTGGTGACCCTTATGTTATACGTCTATTCTATTTAGCTAATGAAATATAAAAAAATTAAAAAGAGGCAGCACTGTCTTCATCTCTGTTCTTGCAAGATTTTGTAATACTGGTTCTGTACTTGTGTTTTATAGTCTCACATATTGGCAGCTAAGGCAGTAGCCAATACTCTAAGATCTTCGCTTGGGCCCAATGGTAAGTATAATTATGTTATAACCCTTTAAATCTGCTGTGTTAAAATGCTTTTCTATTCATACTGGCATTTTGTTTCAATATTTGTTGCAGGCCTTGATAAAATGATGGTTGACAAGGATGGTGATGTGACTGTGACAAACGATGGTGCCACCATCTTGAATATGATGGATGTGGACCATCAAATTGCTAAACTTATGGTTGAGCTGGCGAAATCTCAGGATGATGAGATTGGGGATGGGACCACAGGTGTTGTTGGTAAGATTACTGAATCTTATGTGTTGAAATTTTGTAACTTTAAAAGTGATTTCAAGTTCCTTATAAAAAATGCTAAGTTTGACAGTAACGACTAAGTATCATATGTAACTGGTACCTCGGTTTTTGAACACTCCTCGGAAGTCTTAACATTCCATGCGGCTTTCACTGAGTGCAAAATCCTGAGGCCTAGCTGTCGGCTATTGAGTTTTCGGTTTTCGAACGTTTCAGAACTTGGAACGGTCTTCCAGAATGGATTATGTTCGAAAACCAAGGTACCACTGTATTTAATTATACACATTGCCACATTGTGTTTTTGTTTATAAAAGAGTCAAAGCTACAGCTTATAGCAGTTGATCAGTTGCCAGTGCATAAAACTTTAACCCAGTTGAGTAGCATAAAATGACATTATTTGCAGTAACTGCATGGATTGTGCACCTGGATCAGTTTCTTTAAACTAAATAGTTTTGCACATTTACTAGAGAATGTGTATTCACTAGGGATTCCTCCCAGTGTTTGTAAAATTGCATGATAGGTCTTAAATTGTGGTACTCCGTTTTTATCCACACTAATATTTGAGGTGGTAAAAGTGGTTTTATCATCTCTGCTCATGATGAAACTTGCTAAGTACATGAAATTCAAAGGTTAACATGATAAGAGGATATATATATATATAGTCCAGTAGCACCTTAGAGACCAACTAAGTTTCATACCCATTGAGTCAATCACCCATCTCCTACTACCCTCCTGAGAAACCCCCCCCCCCCCACTATATAACTTCTGTTTCAGTGTATCTGAAGAAGTGTGCATGCACACAAAAGCTTATACCAAGAACAAACTTAGTTGGTCTCTAAGGTGCTACTGGACAGTTTTTTTATGTATTTCGACTGCGTCAGACCAACACAGCTACCTACCTGAATGAAAGAGGATACTTTGAAATAAAATGAGTTTTATTTAATGTCCAGTATGTTCTATAAAGGGGCGTGGGTGGCGCTGTGGGTTAAACCACAGAGCCTAGGACTTGCCGATCAGAAGGTTGGCGGTTCGAATCACCGTGACGGGGTGAGCTCCCGTTGCTCGGTCCCTGCTCCTGCCAACCTAGCAGTTCGAGAGCACGTCAAAGTGCAAGTAGATAAATAGGTACTGCTCCGGCAGGAAGGTAAACAGCATTTCCATGCGCTGCTCTGGTTCACCCGAAGCGGCTTTGTCATGCTGGCCACATGACCCGGAAGCTGTACGCCGGCCCCCTTGGCCAATAAAGTGAGATGGGCGCCACAACCCCAGAGTCTGCCACAACTGGACCTAATGGTCAGGGGTCCCTTTACCTTTAAGTTCTATAAAACAACTGGCACTGGGTGATGTCCAACTTTGTCATACTTGAAATACAGTGGTACCTCGGGTTACAGACGCTTCAGGTTACAGATGCTTCAGGTTACAGACTCCGCTAACCCAGAAATAGTACCTCAGGTTAAGATCTTTGCTTCAGGATGAGAACAGAAATTGTGCAGCGGCGGCAGCAGGAAGCCCCATTAGCTAAAGTGGTGCTTCAGGTTAAGAACGGATCTCCAGAACAAATTAAGTTCTTAACCCGAGGTACCACTGTAGACCCATACAAATCGATGAACTTAAATCCATTCATTTCTAATCTCAGTAACACAAAAGTTTTGTGTTCCATGACCAATGATCTTTTCCCAAATTTTCAAAATGAAAAAATGTAAGCATCTTAATCTTCAGATTGGCAGCACTGGCCAGTCCTCTGCCTCCAGAATTGTATCAGCGGGAGCAATTTGTTTCTGTAGGATGGAGCTTATTTTCTGATGGAATAATGCTTTATAAAGCTATATTTTAACTTGTTTATTTTATGTATGGGTTAATTTGTGTTATATTGACACACTGCCTCGATTTTATATTTTACTCTTGCTATTATATTGGATATTACGTTTCACATTCTATATAATATCTCATTAAAAATGGTTTTTGGAAATTATGAGACTAGGGCAACTATTACTTTGAATTAGACATCTTTAGTCCTTCTACCCTATTTGGCTTCAAAACCCTATAAATACCTATTTACCTGATCATCTGATTGTAGCTGGTAAAATGATTTCCAAGTTATTGTTCAATATCAAGTTCTTCTAAAACTGGAAGATTTAGGTTTTTCAGTTAGTTGGTATTCTTCAAAATATTCTAATTGGTGTGTGTTGGCAGGTATATTAATAAAAATATTCATGGACTTGCTTGCACACAGCTGTCTGTTTCAGGAACTTATCTTTAGGTGCCAGGAAAAACATTCCTCACCTCACAAGCTTTTGGCTAATTAAACCGTGTACAGTGGTACCTCGGGTTACATACGCTTCAGGTTAAGAACTTTGCTTCAGGAAATCTTGCTCCGGCGGCGCAGCAGCAGCAGGAGGCCCCATTAGCTAAAGTGGTGCTTCAGGTTAAGAACAGTTTCAGGTTAAGAACGGACCTCCGGAACGAATTAAGTACTTAACCTGAGGTACCACTGTATTGGCTTTTAAACTGCGGTGGGGGTATTATTTGTTTGTTATTATGGCATGTAGTTTTGTGGTTTTATATTGTAAACCACCTTTTGATCTTCGGATGAAGAGCAGTATAGAAATTTAATAAATAATAATGGAGGTAAAATTGCCTATTAAAGAGGCAAAACGTTTTTGTTACAACTTTGCTTCTGCAGTTCTTGCAGGTGCTCTATTGGAACAGGCAGAGCACTTGTTGGATCGTGGTATTCATCCTATCAGAATAGCAGATGGGTATGAACAAGCTGCTCGCATTGCTATTGAGAACTTGGACAAGATCAGTGACAGTTTTCCTGTTGACCCAGAGAACTTAGAGCCTCTCATTCAGACAGCAAAGACTACTCTGGGCTCTAAAGTGTAAGTACACACTACTTCTTTTAAAAAAATTAATACTCCTAGGTATTGTAATTCTGCAGGCAAATTTCTGTTTGAGCTTATGGTTACTGAGAGTTGATTTATGCATTACATTGAGCACATGGTGTGTTTTTTAAAGCAATGGGTAATATTCAGCCCAATTACATTATACAGAGTAGATTCATTGTAATCAAAGGACTTGAATGATTTAAGTACAATGCTTCATTGGGTCTATTGAGTATAACTAGCATTGGCTATTGCCCAATGTGCTTAACACTGAGCCTTATTTTGAAGGAAAACCTGCTGATTTTCAAGTGTTGCTAGTGAGGAAAGATTATCAAACAGTGAACTGCCACAGAAGCAGGAATACCCCAGGCTGCCTCTGCCCTGCCACCTTTGAGAGTAGCCAGAGGAGGTACAAGAATGAACACAAGAATGAAATGGATTTTTTATGTATTGACGAAACTTTGAATAAATATCATTTAAAAAAAAAAAGAATGAACACAGCACCCACACCTATCTGCTTTTGCTCACCCTTTCTTAAGAGAAATGTGTTTGACTGCTCACTTACTCTTCTCTCTGGAAGTTGTGGTGCACCAGATTAATCAAGGAAGGAGCAGTTACTTAATTCGCTCACCAGTGTTCTACAGGTGGTGACAATTGAACCCAAGCCTCCACTGAATGCTACCCATTGATAGAAGAGGGTGGGTGAGAAGGAGCAGCAGCTGTTCCTTGCTGCTTTCTTGCAACAGCAAGGAGTGGGAAAGTGATGGTTGCTGCTGCTTCTGATCACTCATTTGCTCTTTTCATCTGGTAGGCTACACCTGCTTGTGTGCTCGTTGTTTTGGTGAGCAAAAGTAGGTAGTTACTGCTTTTTGTTCCTTTGAAATATTGTTCCTTTGCAGCCCCAACTTTAATTCAGAGTCAAGACATGGCTGCAAGGAAAGAATCAGAAACACGCTTAGAGTGCGCTTCTGATTCTTCATCCTTTAGTTGCAGCTTGAAGTTTTCAGTGGTGGCTTGATGTTTCCTATGTCTGACATCATACGACATCAGGCCAAAGGTGGCTGTGGTTAGCTCAAAAAGACTTGCAGACCTGAGGTTCTTCACTCCTCTACAGTTTGATTTTCTCTTCTCACTGATTTCTGCTGATAAGTTATTTTTCTTCAAAATAAAAGTGATGGCATTGAGGAAAAGTGATTAACGTAATATGCAGTTTGATCATAAGTTTAAAGTGAGCTTGTGTCAACATAGTTTAAAGATTAATATTTATTCTGTGAGTTCTCCAAAATCTTCAGTAAGCCATTCGGGTCTACAATGTTTGATTTTGATTTTTTTTAATTACCTGAATATTTTATAATGAAACTTCCTTTCATTTTTAGAATTAATCGTTGCCACAGACAAATGGCAGAAATAGCTGTAAATGCAGTGCTAACTGTGGCAGATATGGAGCGCAGAGATGTTGATTTTGAGCTGATAAAAGTCCAGGGCAAGGTCGGTGGTAGACTGGAGGACACGCAACTAGTAAAAGGTGTGATAGTAGATAAAGACTTCAGCCACCCACAAATGCCTAAAGTGAGTGACCTTGTTGATTTGATAATGGGATTTTTTCTTTGTAAACCTTGAGTTTTCTTATTGCTGCTTAAGTCCAGCTGTTTTTTTAAATCAACTCAAAATGTATTATTACAGTGGTACTTTGGGTTACAAACACTTCGGGTTGCAGACTCCGCTAACCTGGAAGTAGTACCTAGGGTTAAGAACTTTACCTCAGGATGGGAACAGAAATCGTGTGGCGGCAGGCCCCATTAGCTAAAGTAGTATCTCAGGTTAGGAAGGGTTTCAGGTTAAGAACGGACCTCCGGAACAAATTAAGTTTGTAACCAGAGGTACCATTGTATTACCATTATTATCTGGGGTGGTTTGTTCTTGAGGAAACCATTAATTTTTAATCGTTAAAACTTGAAAGTTTATTGCCCACTTTAACTCTAGCCCTTATTTTCCCAGGAACTTAAAGATGTTAAAATTGCAATACTGACTTGCCCATTTGAGCCACCTAAGCCAAAAACTAAGCATAAGCTTGATGTAACATCTGTGGAAGACTATAGGGCATTGCAGCAGTACGAGAAGGAGAAGTTTGATGAGATGGTGAAACAGGTTAGAATGATACTTATTTGTTTTAATATGCTAAAAGGCTTTTGAAAAATGTCATAAAAATCTTCACTTGCATTTGACAATTAACACTCTTGCCAAATAGTACTGAAAGTGACCATTGTGTTCAGTGTTGTATATGTTGTTGTCGTTTAGTCGTGTCCGAGTCTTCGTGACCCCATGGACCAGAGCACGTCTTCCACTGCCTCCCGCAGTTTGGTCAAACTCATGCTGGTAGCTTCGAGAACACTGTCCAACCAATCTCGTCCTCTGCCATCCCCTTGTTCTTGTGCCCTCAACCTTTCCCAGCATCAGGGTCTTTTCCTGGGCGTCTTCTCTTCTCATGAGGTGGCCAAAGAGCCTCAGCTTCAGGATCTGTCCTTCCAGTGAGCACTCAGGGCTGATTTCCTAAGAATGGATAGGTTTGATCTTCTTGCAGTCCATGGGACTCTCAAGAGTCTCCTCCAGCACCAGTGTTGTATATATTCCACTCCTAAAGTTTCTATTCCACATGCAGGTTATTCAAATTCTTTATCAAGGGAAGCCAAATAATATAACCCATATATAAAAGCAGTTTTTGCATAATTCTGGTATTCCTAATCATGGGTAGGGGAAGGTGCTGTGCAAGACACTGAAACTTTGTCCCCCTGCCACTAGATAGCTTATTTATCCACCTCTGTGGCTTGTGAGATTTATCTTCCAGACTTCTAAGCATAGTTTTGCAATCTATGTTTAAAGTTTCTAACGTTTAAAGAGAGGTGTGTGTGGAAATGCGCTTCTGCAGAATTTCTGTATGCACTTAGCCCAGATTATACTTCTTGCAATACTAAAAGGAAATTGAACAACATTTCTGAATTTCCTGTTTACAGCAAGGTTTATCTTGCATAAAATCAGAAGTTTAATGATGTCAGAGAATCGTCTTGGAGTAGCTTTGAAGTGGATATGCACTTGATTAGGATTTAGAAGTGAGGCTGATGTAAGTTGCACTCAGAGTTGGAATCCAGTGTACTGTATTCACTATTCATGACTAAGCCTCTTGATTTTCAATGAGTCTCTTCTGAGTTTTGCTTTGTTGGATACCACTCAATGCTTCTAAAGCTCGGAGTAAAATTGTGAACCAGTGCTTCCCTGCCCACTTCTTACTTTTATGTACTTCTGAGAAGCTCAAAACTAACATTTCAAGTCAAAACGGAAGCTGACCAGCATGTGTGAGTCTGCACTTTTTTGAGATCTATGACTCCACCTAGCTGTGATTGGTCAAACTATGGCGCAGGACCAATTCGTGTTTCCTTTTCTTCCATCCGTCTCCTGTGTAGCAGCGGTAGGCTTTAAGCTTTCGAGCCAGGCCTCTACCGTTGCAGGAATGTTAGCATGAAGGCCCTTCCAAGCTGCACATTTATTTGATGTGCACCACAACCGGGGGCAACCCCCAAACCAGCTAGGGAGACAGCTTGCCATAGTTTTTAGCACCTCCATGGGTGGTTAATGTAACTGGCATCTGTTCAGGGCTGCCCCTATTCATGCGGTTACTTACTGTAACAACTTCATGGTGAGTTCCAGCAACTATTTTTCTTGAAAAAAAGCACTGAATAAATATGTATATATGTATGTATTTTAGATCAAAGACACTGGTGCAACCCTAGCTATTTGCCAGTGGGGATTTGATGATGAGGCCAATCACTTACTGCTTCAGAATGAGTTACCTGCCGTTCGCTGGGTTGGTGGTCCTGAAATAGAAGTAAGTATGAGTCACTTGCTACTCCTTATTTTTCCCGTGTACTTTAAGGTTTGTCACTCATAGCTTTTCTGATTGCTTTCAGTTGATTGCCATTGCAACTGGAGGCCGCATTGTACCTCGTTTTTGTGAGCTCACACCTGAAAAACTAGGATTTGCTGGCATTGTCAAAGAGCTCTCATTTGGAACCACAAAAGACAGAATGCTTGTAATTGAGCAATGCAAAAATTCCAGAGCTGTGACCATCTTCATTAGAGGTGGAAATAAAATGGTGAGTGAGCTAATTTAATCAGATAGTGTCTGCAGTTGTTTTTTTTCTGTTAAAATCTTTGTACTGTTTCGCTTTGATCTGCCTTAATAGGAATTCCTAAGTTGTGACAAGAACAAGTAGTAATTATTAACCTTGGAAATAGGTGATGTAAGAAAAGCACCGTATTTTTCGCTCCATAAGGCGCACCTACTTTTTTGGGGGGGGGGATTCAAGGAAAAAATACGCGGCTTTTGCGGGAGGTGAGGGAAGTGAGAGAGCCTTGCTTTGTCCCTTCCCCCACCTCCTGCAAAAGCCAGGGATAGCCACGCGAAGCCTCCCCAGGGCAGCGGGATGAAAGCTCCCCACTGCCCTGCGGAGGCTTTGTGCCACTAAAGCAGAAGCTAAAACAGCTAGAACAGAAAGCTAAAACAGAAGCTAAAACAGAAACAGAAACAGAAACAGAAAGCTAAAACAGAAGCTAAAACAGTGCTGCACAGCACTGTCTCTAGCTGTTCTGGCTTCTGGGGTAGCCTGCGAAGCCTCCGCAGGGCAGGGGGGAGCCCTCATCCCACTGCCCTGCGGAGGCTTCGCGGCCTACCCCAGAGCTGCTCAGGAGCTTGTCAGGGCTGGCGGGGGAAGCCCAGCTTTCCCCCACCCCCAGCCCCAGCCCCAAAAAGCGGGTCGAGGAGCAGCGGAAAGGCTGTCACCCTTTCTTTTGATATACTATGGGTGGATAGTTGGCTCTTAATTCTGGATACCTTAAGGGTTTGTTTAAACATAACAGGTTGCATTAACATTGTGTTCTGCTTGCACAGCAGATTTTCACTTTTTCAAGGGAACTTCTCCATCCTTGCCTTTCCCCTGCAGCCTCCTGCACACCCTCAAAATTGTGATTACCTTTTTAATGTCATCAGGCCTTTCTACTGCTTGAATGTACCTGTTCTGCTCTTTACATGTTTTACTCCCACATGCACATCATGTTGAAATTAAAGAATTTTATTTGTTTCACTGTGTTGTGAGCATAATTTTTATCCCACTTTTTCTCTTCAACCAGTGAACCTTCTAAAACTAGATTATCAAATTAATTTTGCCACTTTGAAATTAAGTTTGTAGACCTTCAGTAGAAGCATCAAAACTGAATAGTAGTGTTGTTTGCTCATCCTGAGTTGGACAGGAGAACTGCTGTCCAAAAGGAATTCTTGGGAGGCAGGAAAGGGCTGCAGTTCATACCTTTTGTGTGCTGTTGCTTCTGATACAGATAGAAGTAGCTGGAGGAGGGGTTGTGTGGATTTTTAGAACAGCAGTCCTACTCAGAAGCAAGTCTCATTCTATTCAGTAGGGTTTACTCAACTGATAAATGGAAATAGGATTTCAGCCTAACTGTTTTGATAGGATTTTTGGGTAGCCGTGCTTTTTAATTTTAAGCCACTAAAAAGAGTGAAACTGGGCAAATGACAGCAGTAGAATTGCTAGTGGAATCTGCTGTTCAAATTTTGTATGCTAGTTGTATTTTCTGTTTATTGGAAAAGTGCTATAACCTCACCTTTCTTGTGTGTCTGCAATTGCATTGTCTAATTGAAGATCATTGAAGAAGCCAAACGATCCCTTCATGATGCATTATGTGTGATCAGGAATCTTGTTCGTGACAACCGTATCGTTTATGGCGGAGGTGCTTCTGAGATCTCTTGTGCACTGGCTGTTAGTGAAACAGCAGATAAGGTAAAAAAGAAGTTAGTTGATATGCCATGCTGACCAACTTTACATTAAGCTTTCGTAGAACTACGGATGCTGCACTGCAGATCCAATTTTGTTTCTACTTGTGGTTTCTAGTGAAGCACCTGCAAATTTGTTGTTGTTGTTTAGTCGTGTCCGACTCTTCGTGACCCCCTGGACCAGAGCACGCCAGGCACTCCTGTCTTCCACTGCCTCCCGCAGTTTGGTCAGACTCATGTTTGTAGCTTCGAGAACACTGTCCAACCATCTCATCCTCTGTCGTCCCCTTCTCCTTGTGCCCTCAATCTTTCCCAACATCAGGGAGTCTTCTCTTCTCATGAGGTGACCAAAGTATTGGAGCCTCAGCTTCAGGATCTGTACTTCCAGTGAGCACTCAGGGCTGATTTCCTTAAGAATGGATACGTTTGATCTTCATGCAGTCCATGGGAGTCTCAAGAGTCTCCTCCAGCACCTTCAAATAGCCGCACCCTATTCACTTCTGTATCCATAAGCAATTTTATGCTTATGGATTGGTAAGGGTGAATTGTTCCCAGGCTGATAAAACTGCAATATTCTTCAGATGTGTAGTATCACTTTAAACCTAAAAATAGATGCTTGCGTGCTCCCACACAAGAAATCTTCAAATTATTGGCATCTAGGCCCATCTCTAAAATTCAGTCACTGTAGTATATTGGAGTGTCAGACTTGAACCAGGAAAAAATGAGTTTAAATCCCATCTCAGTCATGAATTTGAATGGATGGCCTTGGACCATTATTTCCCCCTCTCATCCTAAGCTACCTGACAGATTGGGAAAAGGACTGGATGCATTTTGTTGGCAGTGGGAATGCTTTCTGGAGGGCCACATGTATCTCATTTTTTTAAGGGGAGGAGAGTTGCTGCTTTTCCTTCCTTTTGTTTTGTTTTTGGAGCTGTTCTTGAAGTATAATTATACTAGTTTTTTCCTTAGCAGAGTTATCTGTTTTCCACATTTATTGGGCTGGGGTGTTAGCCTGCATGTATACAGACACCTCCTTGGATTATTATTTGTACTCCTTGCAGAACTGTTGAGTTGCTCATATAAATTGAACTCACTTGTCCTCATTGGCATAATCACCCAGCCAAATATGATTCATTATATGGCCTCATGACATTATATTCACTATGTGAGTCTTGAGTGGTTTGTTTTGTCCATGTAGATAATATGGAGGTGGAAGAGAGAAGAAGCCTTGGGGGGGGGGCAAGTACCAAAGCAGTTGCAAAGCGAAACTGGATCAGTAAAATGACAAATAGGCACACAGTCTAAAACACTAACAATAAACAAAAAAAACCCACAGTCCTGTTTCCCATAATGTAAAGATATATAAAACAGGGCTCAACAGGTTATGCTCAGGTACATGTCTTTCTGATTACAGCGTCTAACAACACAGCTGTTCATGTTTACCTAGCTGCTCCTTCTAACTGACTTATAAGGCTTCATATATAAGCAGTATAGCTGATGGCCGCTGCTGCTGGGAGCACTGCTGCTTCTGTTGTTCCTCTTTGGGGTGGAATGCAGAACTGAAGCAGCACTTCCTTAGACTTTGCTCTTACTTCATGCTGTTAAACTTTAGGATAGATAAAATAAAAATGTTGGGTGAGGTAAAGCCAAAATGGTGTGATAGATGAGGAGTGTCTTGGAAGCAACAGAGCACACCGTCTCCACCAAGGAGGAGACAGGGAACTCCCCTGAGAAGGAGGCTAGTTCACCAACACAGGAGCCAGATATATGGAGAAACGTGACTCGAAGTAGGAGGCCCAGGGTTCGCTCTGATTGTTTAGAAATACACAATCGCTTTGAGGTCCTCTCCCCTAGCATGGAAGACGAAGAGCAGACTTCCATTTGAGGATCTCTCCCTCATTACAGTCGATCAGGTATATGAAGACGAGCAGCAAAGTCAGTCCTCAGGGAATGTGCAGGCGACCTTGGAACGGACAGCTCACGGAAGAACCCCGACCAAACCTAAGAGGAGGCGTGTAGTGGTGATAGGGGATTCCCTACTGAGGGGAACAGAAGCAGTGATCTGTGGGCCTGACAAGATGTCTCGGGAAGTGTGCTGTCTCCCCGGGGCTAAGATCCAAGACCCACTGACAAATACCCCTTCCTCTTGGTTCATGTGGAAACCAATGACACTGCAAGCAACAGCCTCCAGAAGATCAAGAGACTACGAGGCTCTGGGCAGGAAATTGAAGCAATTAAATGCACAAATTGTCATCTCATCTGCCCTCCCAGTTGAACGACGTGGCCCAGGGAGAAAGGGAAAAATAGTGGAAGTGAACAGCTGGCTTCGCAAATGGTATAAACAGGAACGGTTTGGATTCTTAGATCACGGACTGCAGTTTCTTGAAGATGGACTTCTGGCAAGCGATGGGCTGCACCTCACAACAGTTGGGAGGAATGTTTTTGCCAAAAATTTCAGAAACCTCATCAGGAGGGCTTTAAACTGACTAATGTGGGGGAGGGAGACAGTGCTCCTGAAGGTAGGAGTCTTATCAATTGATGAAGATGATCATCCAAATGTCATAGACCAAATGGAGCAAACAGCACGCAGACCTAGTGGATGTAGCCTACCTTGATTTCAGCAAGGCATTTGACAAGGTGCCCCATGATATTCTTGTCAAGAAGCTGGTAAAATGCGGTCTTGACTATGCTACCACTCAGTGGATTTGTAACTGGCTGACTGACCGAACCCAAAGGGTGCTCATCAATGGTTCCTCTTCATCCTGGAGAAGAGTGACTAGTGGGGTGCCACAGGGTTCTGTCTTGGGCCCGGTCTTATTCAACATCTTTATCAACGACTTGGATGATGGACTCAAGGGCATCCTGGTCAAATTTGCAGATGACACCAAACTGGGAGGGGTGGCTAACACCCCAGAGGACAGGATCACACTTCAAAACGACCTTGACAGATTAGAGAACTGGGCCAAAACAAACAGATTAGAGAACTGGGCCAAAACAAACAAGATGAATTTTAACAGGGAGAAATGTAAAGTATTGCACTTGGGCAAAAAAAATGAGAGGCACAAATACAAGATGGGGGACACCTGGCTTGAGAGCAGTACATGTGAAAAGGATCTAGGAGTCTTGGTTGACCACAAACTTGACATGAGCCAACAGTGTGACGCGGCAGCTAAAAAGCCAATGCAATTCTGGGCTGCATCAATAGGAGTATAGCATCTAGATCAAGGGAAGTAATAGTGCCACTGTATTCTGCTCTGGTCAGACCTCACCTGGAGTACTGTGTCCAGTTCTGGGCATCACAGTTCAAGAAGGACACTGACAAACTGGAACGTGTCCAGAGGAGGGCAACCAAAATGGTCAAAGGCCTGGAAACGTTGCCTTATGAGGAACGGCTAAGGGAGCTGGGCATGTTTCGCCTGGAGAAGAGGAGGTTAGGGGGTGATATGATAGCCATGTTCAAATATATAAAAGGATGTCACATAGAGGAGGGAGAAAGGTTGTTTTCTGCTGCTCCTGAGAAGCAGACACGGAGCAATGGATCCAAACTACAAGAAAGAAGATTCCACCTAAACATTAGGAAGAACTTCCAGACAGTAAGAGCTGTTTGACAGTGGAATTTGCTGCCAAGGAGTGTGGTGGAGTCTCCTTCTTTGGAGGTCTTTAAGCAGAGGCTTGACAACCATATGTCAGGAGTGCTCTGATGGTGTTTCCTGCTTGGCAGGGGGTTGGACTTGATGGCCCTTGTGGTCTCTTCCAACTCTATGATTCTATGAAATTTAATAAATGGAAAAAAAAAATGTCATGGTCACATGGAAAATACAAGCATATTCAGGGTAATAGTGACTGGGTTTATGCACCAGAATTCAGGTTTATAAAAGTTAGAGAATCTCTTGAAGCTTTTATTCTGTATCATTCAGCATCTGAATTCCCCACTTATTCAATATTTCTTAATATTTAATACAATAATTAATATCAAGTTTAGATTTTTATGTAGTAGCTTTGGCTTTGAGGGTAGGGAAGGAAGCTATATTTTGTCAGCTGGAAAAACGTAATTCTCTGTATAATGTCACTGCTCACTCCGCAAAGATGGTTACAGCTACAATCCTGTTAAGTGGAGAAAGATACAATAAAGTAGGCAGTTAAGATTGAAAGGCACTTCTCATAAGCAGGTTCTTGTAGCTAAACGTCTTGTGTAGCCTGTGTTCTGTTTGGTTGTTTTTTTAAAAAAAAGAACAGCATATATTTTCAGGTAAACAGTTATTAAAACATAAAGCAGGCTCTGTTTTCGGACGTCTTATTCTGTGATACTTGTTCTCCTAGTGCCCGTCACTGGAGCAGTATGCCATGAGGGCTTTTGCTGATGCCCTCGAAGCCATTCCAATGGCACTTGCTGAGAATAGTGGCATGAATCCTATACAGACAATGGCTGCAGTGCGGGCTCGGCAAGTGAAAGAAGAAAACTCTGCTTTGGGTATTGACTGCTTACGCAAAGGGACAAATGGTAAGGACCACAAGTACCAGCATTATTTTCAGATAAGTGTCAGTGAATGTAACGATTGTTATTCTACTGCACGTAATTTCTTAGAAACACCTGAATGTCATTAATATTCTGAGCTTGCCACCTACTCCAAAAGATGGGCTCTTCAATTGGATTTAGTGAAATAGAGTGGCATTCCTTTCGTGCCATTGACATTCCAGGGGAGATTCCATGGAGAATTGGGCTATGCCTTAGGCTATTTGTCTCTGAACACCAGCTGTTGGAAATCGCACACGGGGAGAGTGCTCTTGCTCTTAGGTGCTGCTTGGGGGCTTTCTATAGTCATCTGGTTGGCCACCTGAGAATCAGAAGCTAGCCAGGATGGGCTCTTGGCCTATTCCAGGTTCTTATAATCCCATACAATGTGATCTTCCCTTTGGGTCCTTCTAACTCTTGATTGTACCAGCCATTGGTCCTAAGGCACAGGCTGGATAAATGTTTCTTGAGTCTGCAGGCAACTCTAGTTCTGCTAGTTACTGCTCTTACCACTGAATAAAATGAATTGTTGTAACAAGAACATACATAGAAATCTATTCCTTGCATAGAACAGATCTGTTTTCTATGTTCTTGTATTGTGCTGGGAATGTTAAATAATTTTAAGTGAACGCAGTACATTCACATTTTCTTTTCTCTTGGCAGATATGAAGGAACAACATGTTATAGAAACTTTGATTGGCAAGAAGCAGCAGATCTCTCTGGCTACTCAAATGGTTAGAATGATTCTGAAGATTGATGATATTCGCAAGCCTGGTGAATCTGAAGAATAAAAAATTAAACCTGACATGTTTCAATTGCAGTGGTCCCATCAGCCCAATTCCAGTGTTTTCTCGTAGGCTGTTTCTGTTTGATATACTTATTTACATCAATAAATAGCTGTTGTGGTGTCAGTACTTTTTCAAAAGTTTCATTGTTCTTTTTCTTAAGTTATGCTGGGTCCCAGCTCCTCTTATACAAAGATACTGTAGAAATAGAAACGTTAAATTGTTCACATTATCTGTAGCTTTTAATCTACTGCTCTCGTTTCCTTGTGGTGTTGGTATAGAAAGTACATTAGTACATTTAGCACATTAGACTTGTATAACACTGTCGCCCTAATTTTTGGATTTTAGCATGGATTGTATTAAAGTGGGCTTTGTGGAATTGTAACTGGGAGGAACTCGAAATAAAAAAAGATGTGGGTTTTGGAAGAGCAGCAAAACAGAGTGCTTATGGTTCTGGAAAAGAGTCTCATCAATACACTGATAACTAGATGCTTTCTTTTTTGCCAGATACTTGCGGTCTTTGTTACTGCTTGGTGCTGGAAGAATTTTAGTGACACCATAACTTTATAGATAGGCTATTGGTGTACCAAGAGATTGTACATTACAAATGGTAATGATTGGAGCCCACTGATTAGGCCAGTGGTTGTTAGGCTGCAGGGTTCAGTTTTTAACATCACGTTATTTGGGGAAATATAGTGTGCCGATTACACCCAGCTCTGTTTCTCATTTTTTACAATTTAACGTGGGGAAGGCTGTAAAAGAGCTGAAGCAATGTCATGCCAATAGCTGACTGCATGAAGGCTAATAAATTGAAATGCAGTCTTGACAAGGCAGGCTCTTTTGGTAGGTGGTTTGGCTCACCAAGGAGGTTGTTTCTAACTTCTAGATGTGGTCACAGTTTGCCTGAAGTACCTTGCTTGTTTGGCAGTCAGTGATGTTTGGGTGGAAACTTTTCCAGTGTTTTTATTTTATGTTGCTGATGAGCTTACACAGTGAACGGATGCTATTTGCAATTATTAAGGAAGCTTGGCAGTTTTCAAAACCATAAACCAACTGGGGGATTGAAGTTTGAAGCCTTCTGGAATAGGATTTTTCACACACATGCACAAAGAGGCCTATGATAAGTCCATGGGTTATTTTGAAGTATTATTCACCCATTATTATTTTTAGCCATCTGGGATGACCCAGGTTATCTTCTGGGATGAAAAGTCGTGAGTTACCGTATTTTTCGCCCCATAGGACGCACCTAGTTTTTTTGGGGGGGAAATAAAGGGGAAAAAAATTATTTCCCCCCCAGGCACGGGGCTGGCGCGGGGGAAGCCCGAGCTTCCCCCGACCCCAGCCCCCAGAACAGCCTGCTGTCCGCAAGCCTAGGGAGCCGCGCCGGTCTCCCCAGGCTTGCGGAGAGCTGGGTGAAGCCCAGGAGCGCTCTTTAGCTCCCAGGCTTCGGAGTGCAGGCAGCTCTGCGCGCCCTTTGGGAGCCCGGCGCGAAGCCGCGCCGGGCTCCCGAATGTTGCGCAGAGTTGCGTGCCGCCCGGGAGTGCAGGCAGCTCTGTGCAACCCTCCGGAGCCCAGCGCGGCTTCACGCCGGGCTCCTGAGGGTTGCGCAGGGCTTCGTGAAGCCTGGAGAGCAAGAGGGGTCGGTGCACACCGACCCCTCTCGCTTTCCAGGCTTCAGCGAAAGCCTGTATTCGCCCCATAGGACGCACACACATTTCCCCTTCATTTTTGAAGGGGAAAAGTGCGTCCTATTGGGCGAAAAATACGGTACTTGCCTATGGTTGCATTGGCAATTGTTGGCAGGGAGGGAATTTTATGTGACACTGTCCTACATGGAAATGAAGCTAGGGGTCAGACACAGTGCTCAGGCACCCCACAGTGTCAGCTTCCTGCGTGGCAGATTTATACCGTAGATTCTGGCGTATAAGACGACTTTTTAACCCCGGAAAAGGTTAAAAAGTCGGGGGTCGTCTTATACGCCGGGTATGGGCGGCACGGAGCGGAGCCTCCCTCCCGCTGCTGCTGTGGCGGCTCTGAAGCAGCACCAGCCAGTGGCGGGCTTCGCTCCACGCCGGGAGAAAGCTGCCCAGCGCAGAGCCCGTCCCCCGCTGCTTCAGAAGCAGCAGCAGCGGGCGGTGGGCTCCGCTCCACGCCAAGCAGCTTTCTCCCAGCGCAGAGCTGCCCAGCGTAGCCAATTTGGGGGGTCGTCTAATACGCCCAGTCGCCTAAGACGCCAGAATCTATAGTACATTTTGGGATGGGCCAAGTCATTGAAAAGCCTCAGTCCGTAGGTGGTGGTGCCCTGTAGAAAATTTCTGGTAGCAGACTCCACCACAAGGAGGCAGAGTATGGGTATCTGTTTGCTTTACACTACACTCTAGTCTTAGCCAAGCCCTGCTTTTCCACAGCCAGAAGGGTTAGAAAATTGCCACCCTGAGCTGAATAAGAATATGAAAGCCATATGCAAGAGTAGATTATACAGATGCCCCCCCACTTATGCAGGGGTCACATTCTGGACCCCTGTGGGTATAGGTGAAGTCACATTAAGTGGGGAGCACCCACTAGAAACACTCTAAATGCCTATTTTCCCCTGCTGTCTCCAGTCCAGACCAAAATATCTAGAGTTGAAGCTCAGACACCTGCTGGAGGATGCACAGGAAAGCAGGAGCGAGTTGTAACTGACCACAAATAAATGGCTTAAAATTTGTGCATGCCCTGACTGCAACTGTGATTCAAAAGTCAGCTGAGAGATTATTTCAGAAGTTGTTATCTCAGGGTTGCCCCCCTATGATTTTTCCCTGCTGTTGACCCAATTTGTATAAAAAGGAGTCTTGCTTTGCCATTCCTCACTTGGCTTATTTCTATCTGACTTAATCTTTTTATGAAATTGTGGACTCCAGATTTTGGACATAACAGTCCAGCTGCTGTCTATATCAGTAGTCTTCCAACAACTTCAGATACAGGATTAAACCCACCTGTAATGTTCAAAATGTTTTGCATGTTTGCATTTTAATTAGAAGAGGTGATGTTAGGTTGTATCTGGACAAGTTTCTTCCTAAGGCTGATGGATTTCCACTTCACGCGGCCAAATTTTGTGCCTTCCACTGTAACAATTTCCAGAGGGGTTTATCTTTAAAAAATGTAAAGACTAACAAGACTAACCTATGTCTGCCTAGTTGTGTGTCTTCCCTCCATGTGATCAGCTTTAACAAAAGGGTGCAGAGCTTCAAGTGCAGATGGCAGCAGCCTTGGCAGAGGATTAAGAGGCAACGAGCAGCAACAAGCCTACATTATGGCAACATCTAGTGGTGATTTAAATTTAGTAATTGGGTCTCCTCTGCTCCCCCCGGTACTGTAATTTGTTTAATTTGCCTTTATTCGGGTTAGAATAGATTAGAAACAAAATTAAATCTTTACTCTTCCTGGTTCCCCACATCCATTAAGTATATATTATTGATAAAACAATTGTAGATAAATTCAGGTAGTATAGATCTGGGAGGAGGGGTTCAAACCTGGCGTCCAAAGGTAGGCCTCTCTAAAACCACAGAATTGTAGAGCGGTGGAAGGGATCTTGAGGGTCATCTAGGCCAGCCCCCTGCCATGCAGGAATATCAGCTAAAGCATGCATGACATTCTGGCCCTCTTCTCAGAAGCAGCCCTACACAGCATTTCTTTGATTCAAATTGCCCCCAACCTTCGCTACTATTTAATTAGAAAATAATTGGCAATGGATGACTTTTGATGTGGTGCTGGGGCAGCTCATTGGGAGCAGTCTTGTTAGGGCATAGATTTATTAATTTTGTGGCTGCATGAGACAGCTTTGATACATGCACAAATATTAACTTTAAGCTTATGTAGGTATAGGAAAACACATGATCATAGGAACCACCTCTAGGTTTGTTTTTAGTACAGTGGTGCCCCGCAAGACGAATGCCTCGCAAGACGGAAAACCCGCTAGACGAAACCTGCTGCTCCAGAGAAGCGGACACGGAGCAATGGATCCAAACTACAAGAAAGAAGATTCCACCTAAACTTTAGGAAGAACTTCCTGACAGTAAGAGCTGTTTGACAGTGGAATTTGCTGCCAAGGAGTGTGGTGGAGTCTCCTTCTTTGGAGGTCTTTAAGCAGAGGCTTGACAACCATATGTCAGGAGTGCTCTGATGGTGTTTCCTGCTTGGCAGGGGGTTGGACTTGATGGCCCTTGTGGTCTCTTCCAACTCTATGATTCTATGAAAGGGTTTTCCGTTTTTGAGTTGCTTCGCAGGACGAATTTCCCTATGGGCTTGCTTCGCAAGACGAAAATGTCTTGCAAGTCTTGAGATTTTTTTTTCGCTTTTCGCCCCCTCTATCTAATCTGCTAAGCCTTTAATAGCCTTTTAGCAGCTAATCCGCTAAGCCTTTAAGCCTTTAATAGCCGCTAATCCGTTAAGCCGCTAATAGGGTTGCTTCGCAAGACGAAAAAACCACTAGACAAAGACTCTTGCGGAACGGATTAATTTCGTCTTGCGAGGCACCACTGTATTACATCTCTATTATGTCAATCAACATTTGATGATCTTCTACCGGTCAACAATAGAAAGTGTCCTTTCCTACTGCATCACAGTGTGGTACGCGGGTTTGACATCAACTGATAGGAAGTGCCTACAGTGGTGGTGAATACAGCACAAGATATTATGGGCTGTCCCATGAATCCGCTGGATGAAATAGCAGAAGAAGGTTGCCTCAGGAGAGTGCGGAAAATTCTCAGGGATGATTCACACCCTGGCCGGCACTTTCTTGATTTCCTGCCCTCGGGCAGAAGATACAGAAGCATGATTAGTCGCACCAACAGGGTAAAGAACAACTATCCGTGGGCTGTTGGGCCACTGAATGAAAAAATAACAACAGGGCAACTGACTTTCAGGTTTGGTGGGTATGTGTCAGTAAACGAGGGGAATTAAGACTAAGAGAGCTGAGTGGGGGGTGCTTGTGTAATCTCACTGTACAGTGGTACCTCGTGTTACAGATGCTTCAGGTTACAGACGCTTCATGTTACAGACTCCGCTAACCCAGAAATAGTACCTCGGGTTAAGAACTTTGCTTCAGGATGAGAACAGAAATTGTGCTCCGGCGGCGCGGTGGCAGCAGGAGGCCCCATTAGCTAAAGTGGTGCTTCAGGTTAAGAACAGTTTCAGGTTAAGAATGGACCTCCAGAATGAATTAAGTTCTTAACCCGAGGTACCACTGTATACAAGTTGTACAAGTGACAATAAAGTATTTCAATTTCAATTATGCTGGACATAAGTAATTTATTTAGAAGTATTAACCATTACAGTGGAACCTCTACTTATAACCATAATCCATTCTGGAGATCTGGTCATAACTAGAAACATACATAAGTAGAGGCGCACTTTTCCATAGAAAGTAATGGAAAAGTTAATTGATCCGCTTTAGACAATGAAAAACACCCCCTAAAACAGCAATTTAACATGGATTTTACTGTCTAATGAGACCATGGATCCATAAAATGAAGGCAATAATGTACTGTACTATAAAATAAATAAGACAGTACTGTATTGTAGATGAAAAAAATTAACTTTTTTTCTTCAATGCGCTGAGGGTGAGTGGGCTTACTTGGCTACAAGCTGGGGGTGGGGCAAGGGTCAGTAAAGAGCTGATTCACTTCGTCCAGGTTCACTTTTTTTTCTTGCCAGGCCAGGTTCTTCTCTGGACTTCCTCAGGTTAGTTCCTTGGCGGGGTTTGGGGCTGCAGTGCGCCCTGCTGTGCCTCTTGCAGGCAGCCCTCTTCCACAGCTTCGGGGGTGGGATGGGGGCCTCTCCCCGGCAGCAGAGGCCTCAGCGCTGCTCTGCAGCCGGCCGGGTGAGCACCGGGCTGCTGGCAAGGCCTCTGTTTGTATCCAGGGGAAAGTTCATAAGTCGAAGCCCCTACTGAAGGTCCTAATGTAAGAGTCGTACGTAAGTCGAGGTTCCACTGTCTCGGCCTCCACAGTCACCTACAGACTCGTCATTAAAACCGTGTTTATGGAAGACAATCTTACTCAGCTATGAGTGATTGCCAAAGAAGAATTTTAACTAGAGCTGTCAGGTTTCTGGAACAGAAAATGGGTACAAAGTGTCAGAGAACATTATGTACTTAGACGTCAAGCAGTTTCATGAAAAGTAGATGGAAATTATTTTTTTCTGCTCCTCCCAGTCACATTCTCAGCATATTTTTTCTGCTTCTCCCTCCTTCCAACTCCCCCCACCAACTACTTGGATCTTTTCAGGACAACCTTCCGAAACCAGACCTATAATTAATTGAATTCAACACAGATTCCCTTTTCATATTGACAAAAGTACCAAAACTCTGCAACTAAAGTCCTGAAATATTTTGTGGTTTTCTGTCTTAGGAATTCCTGTCAGCTTGTACTGAAAATGTCTCACATAGTCCCTCTGTCTCATTGGATAAGTCCAAATGAAAGAAAGGATCAGACTTTGCTTCTGATTTTTGCGTCATGTATACTTTGGACAATCTTCACATACTCCATATTGCCCTAAGCTGTGGTGGAGAGTGCTGTATGCTGTTACCAGTGCTGAAGCGAGATTTAACTAAATGTGAAATAGGGATGGCATCTTGTTCTGAGCCTCAGGCAGGAAATTTTATTGGACTGGCCTTGGAGTCCAAGACTATAAGACAGTAGCGGGTTCAATGGTCAAGAAGCTGGTTTCGGCCTGTGCTGCAGAGGGAACTGAGGGGCTCATCAGCCCATGTAGGAGAAGGAAAACTGATCCTAAACCTCTGCTGCCTTGTGGGATATCTTTGGGAGAATAAAAGGCTGAGGAGTAAATCCCACACAATCCGGAGCGGAGTCCCTAAAACGATTGCACACCTCCTTCCGGCAACTCCTGCAGCCAGGCTGGTGTCAAAGGTCTCGCTCTGCTTTCCTTTGGACCCATCGGTGAGATCAGGAGGGGGCCTTGTCCTCTGGGCAGCCCCGGCCCTCCAGCCCCCGGCCCAGGCTTCTTCCCCAGGGCTGCTAAGGCAGCAGTTGGACTTCACCCGGCAGGCGCACTCCATTGCCTCTCCAGACTGTAATAGGAATTTTATGGTCTTAGATATATGGCAATGTTCATAACCGCACATACATAGATCACCACAGGAAGGCCAACCTGGAACCATTTTGATTCCTAAACTGAGCAAATTTTTTCTCTGCATGGTCAAAGTGGAAAAGCCTCGCCATTGTCTTTTCCTTCACAAATCCTGTCTTAAGGGTGTTTGAATAAGTATTTATCACTACAAAAGAATGGCCAGGCTCCTCAGGCAATCCAATCAAGTAACCTGCCAGACAGGAAATAAACAAGGATAAGAGAAAAACAATATTGAAATTTCTGTTTTAAGTCCACCTTTTCTGTGATGTATCTGAGGGGTGGTCTTAGGTTACACGCCTTCTGTGATGTATGCATAATGTTTCTGGGGGTGGTCTTGATCTACAGGATGGGAATTTCAAGAGTCTTTATAAGCCCTTGCACAGCATTTTTCTGGGTCCTCCTCCTTTCCTGTTGCAACAGATCAATAAAGATCAAGCTTACTAGCTGCTTTGCTTCTTAATATTCTCTGCTTGGCCTCTGTTATTTTCTCCTACCAATAGGGAACCTATGTAAGGACTCTATATGGGCTCTTGGATACCCCATAAGGGAAAAGGGCATATTTTTTATTTACAACAAGACAGATGCGTGACAACCATTAGCTTGGTGGCCATCCCGGCCTCCTGGGGGAATGAATTCTTTAACTATCAAGAAGGCTGGATTCCTCCCCAGGCCTTGAAGAGGCTGCTGGACTCTTGGTTGCTAATTAGCAAAGGCAGGGAAGAAACGCCGCGAAGAAAGGAAGCGCAAGGGCAGCTGCGTAACAGAAACCCCCGTCGGGTGATCTGGGAGGGCTGCGGGAAGGCTGGCCAGGTCTGCGTAACTTTCCACCGGGGCACGAGGCTGCGCGAAGCGGGAGAGCGGCGCCTCCCAGTCCTGCGGGGGGGGGGGGGGAGTCAGCTCGGCTTTGCGCTCGAGGGGCGGGGCGGGGCGGGGCGGCGGGACGAGGAAAAGCGCCGCGCGCGCCCAGCCGCCAGTTTCCGCGCAGCAGCGTCGCCCAACTTCGGACGTGCGGAGGAGACCGGCGAGCGAGCGAGCGAGCGAGCGATGGCTTCGTGGCGGTGGCTGGTGGCGTGCAGCGCCCTCCTGCTCTGCGCCGCGCCGGGCACGGGCCAGCAGCGGCCGCCCCTGCTGGGGGGCGTGCAGGACGCGTCGGCGGACGAGGAGGGCGCGCGGCGGGCGCTGCAGTTCGCCATGAACGAGTACAACCGGGCCAGCAACGACAAGTACGCCAGCCGCGTGGCCGAGGTGGTCCGGGTCAGGAAGCAAGTGAGTATGCGGGGCGGGCGGGGCGGACTGGATGACCCCGGAGCGGGGCCGGCCGGAGTCCAGCCCAAGTCCGGGCAGGGAGACTCCCCAAGAAGCAGCCCATGAAGCCTCTTCACTCGGCCCGGTGCGCGGAGCTGCTTTCTCCGGCGCGGGACTTGGCAGCCTTGACGGCGCATGCGAAGCCGAATGTCTTTTCTTACACGCGCAGTATCTTTTGGGCTATCTGCTCTTCCCTGGTCCGGCCGCGAAGGACGGGTCCCCGCTCTCAAGGCAAGGCCTTGGTTTCTTTGCCCGGGGAGGAGAGTTTTCTGTTTTCCTGGGACTAGGCAGCGAGAGGAGCCCCCAGGAAGAATCGCCGCCGCCGCCGCCGCCTGGGAAGCTGCCTGCCCCTTAAGACTGCCAGGCGGCAGCAGGGCTCTTCTCTCCTCTCTCCCGCCTCCCCTCCTTTCGCTCCTGTGTTTTTAGCTGCAGCTCGCCGCACATAAATATTCTGAATGTTTACAAGTGCACATGGGACTAAACTTGTGCGCTCCAGGCTGCCATTAAAGGCACAAGTGCAGGACCAAGGCGAGCAGTTGGCAGCCTGACCTGTGAGCAGAGCAGAGCAGCTGACTTCTTCCAGGCGGTGGGGGTCAGCTCCAGCTTGACTCCCCCCCCCCCCGCAGGATTCCAGGGGGAGGTCAGTCTCTCCTGCTTACATAATCAGCAGCCAAGATTATGGCTGCTTGTTGTTGACTGGAACAGCCTTGACCTAACTAGGACATGTTGGTTTTTAATGTTTGTGTGTAATTGATTTAAAAGAATAAAGGTCAAATTTCCTAGTTGCCAAGATCCAGGTTTGGGGGCAACTATATTCTTGCTGAGCAAGCCCCAGCAGACTTTTAAAATCAAAAAACATGAAGCAAAATAAAGCATGGAAATATTGGCGGTTAGACCTCCCCTTACTTCCCCTTTGGCATAGAAAAAGCCCACACATTTAGTAAGTTAAAAATGTTTTGCTTTCAAACTCTTCAAAGTTCAGTTTTATGTGCTTTTCCGTGCAGCAGAAAAAAGGCAGGCAGTTTAACTTAGTTTCAGCCCTGATGTCCTTTTGGGTTGGATTCATATGCTGAAGGATAACAAATAAAGGCTTTGGTAACCCTTCCTCCCAAGGCGAGGGGGCTTGTCCTAGTTATGCTTGGCAGGACTGCCTTCTCTGGGTCTGAATCCCTTCATGCACTCGCTAGAACTAAGCATTTGGTTATGTGAGGCTGATATTTATCCCACAGGACAAAGAGCGCTTCCCTGATTCCGTTCCTCCAATACTGCTTAATTCAGATATGCTGCTTACAGTTTTTGGGTGTAATTCAGCAGGAATCTGGGCTGTCCAAGTGCCCTTGAAAATTTCAGCAAATTGGGGCTGCAAAAGGTCACATGAATTGGTCTTTCTTCCATCTTTACACTGGTAGCAGACGTGTAACGTGTGTCCAGATGCATTCTGTTAACCAGAGCTGTACTGAGTTAAGAACCTAAGAAGAGCCTGCTGGATCAGGCCCATGGCCCATCTAGTCCAGCATCCTGCTCTCACAGTGGCCGACCAGATGCCCCACAGAGAAGCCCCCAAGCAGGGCCAGGGGGAAAGAGCATCTCCTCACTGGCAATTCCTATCAACTGGCATTCAGTGCAAGTTCTGCCACTTCTGCACAGCTGTGTCCTTTGATGCAGTTTGATTGACAGCTAGTTGGTTGCCATGACAAATGACAGCACTGTCAAAATAAAAGGAAGATGTTGGCCTGAGACATCAGTATCCTGCAGAGCCAAGCCTCTTTACATTTCCTATTGCTATTCGTGTACTGGCTAGTCAGTACTATAATCTTTAGGGCTCAGCCAGCAGTTTCTCTTCCCCCAAGCTTGACTTCCTCTTCTCTTTTTAACTAAAAGATGCAAACATTTCCTGAAATTTAAGGAAGTAGCTTTCTCTAATTTGTTTGCATCTTGAAACAAGTGGTGGTATCCTGATTTTCTAGGGTTCAAGTCAGCTATGCAAACATGCAGTATAGCTACCTAGGCTGGCATGATTCTGTGGGGGAATAAAAAATTTGAATCCCTGTGGACCCACATGTGTGGGTGAACAACAAAATAATCGGTTGGGTGCCTAGATTCAAAATGCAGGGCTAGAATATAGGTTGTTAGACTCTTCTTATCCCTTTTGCAATTCTCCCCTCTTTCTACTCCTATTGCAAGGAACAGACCACATAAAGCTAGGCAAGTTTAAAATGCTTTACTTACAAGGTCAGACTTCAAAGGTCTGATACCTTCATTGTTCTATGCAGCTGCAAGAAGAACATAGGCAGAATACTCTTGGGTAGGAAAATCAGAATATACTTCCAGACACATGCTCCAAACTTGGGAGCAACCTTAGCCACATCCTCCCTGGTGGGTTACATGTCTTGGAGGGAGAGAGAGAAGGTAGAAGAAGAAGCGTCACTTACTCATGGAGGTAAGAGAGTATGACCTAGCTGAGTCTATGAAACTTAACCCTACGGTCTTAACTCCTTCATGCACTAACTAGAACCCATGCATAGTTATGTTTGACTGCAATTTCCCTCAGATTCAAGGTGTGCCATTCCTTGCAGACAGCACACCAGAACCTGGCTTTTCTTGCTACTTTCAGCATAAAATGTGCAGAATCATGTGAACTCCAGAATCAACAAGAAACCTAATGATTGAACTATTGAGTTGGCTCAGTTCTCCCATCCTCGTGTAGGGCATTAAAAAGACATTAAATCAATCCCGAAATGCACTCCAAATCTCTAAGAAGCTTTTCTTTTTATGTAGTTTATAGAGTAGAATTTTCTTCCGGGTAGTCTTAATGCAGACCGATCCCTCCAAAATTTGTCCTGTTTTTCTTAAAGCCATCTATGCCAATAGCTGTCACCATATCTTATGACAGTGACTTGCGTTAACCAAAGCACGTTAGGGGATGCGTTCAGCATGCTTTGCCCTTCCATCATGGAGATGTGTCGCCTTAAGGTTAAGGGTCTGCTGTTGGTGCCTCTGTTGGGCATGGTCTGTGTGTCGGGGTGGGGGTCACTATAACCTCCTCTCTTTCCCCCTTGCAAAGCAGGGGTGAGCCTGAAGCCATGCATCTCCATAAAGGCTTGGATTTGGACCTTCTGATGTCAACACCTTGTTCTCTTCTGGTTCCTTGATGTTACAGGAATGCCAGTTGTCAGCTCTTTGATATAAAGTAATAACCCAAATGTCTATGACGCAGGCAGATTTATAGTTCCTCTCTAAAAGGAAAGGCTAAGCACAGGCGGCTCCTGTATCCCTCTCACTGTTTTCCAGGGGGGCAGCCTTGGACACTGTTCACAGATGAATCCCAGTCTGTCTTTTGTGATTGGAAAAGGCATCGGGTCTCGTGCAATATATTGAATATTCTCTCTAGTAAAGGAGCCATTTCCCACATCTTACAGATTGTCTCTGGAGTCCTTTATTTTTTCGATGTTAAAGTTGGGCGAACAACTTGTCCGAAGTCAGTAGCCGATGTTGAGAACTGTGCATTCCATGAAGCGCCAGAGCTGGCAAAGGTACGTAGCAAAAACAAGGACATTGCTTAACAGTGCTAAATATAATAATTGGCAGTAAAAATGTCCCTCATTATGAAGGTACTTGTGCAGCACTATTTTGAACTTGGAAGTGAAAGAAGAAGGAAAGAAAGGCAGTGCTTGGGGATATCCTTGGGGTGGGAATTAAATCTGAGGAACCTAGTTTTTTTGGGAAAATACATTTTCTCTCTAAACAGTCTGCTTGACTGTTTTTACAGGGTCTCCCTTTACCCTGTAAAACTCAGTAAACATGTAAAACTTTGCCTTTTTTCTCCTAGTTCCACTCTGGATTATGTTGTTTTGGGGATCAGTTCTGATAATGTTTTCCTTAGATGTTCAGTTCTAAGTTATGGGCTAAGTTATAATGTACCAGGAAATAAGTTATATAATGTACCAGTTCTAAGTTATAATGTAGCAGGAAATTCTCTTGCTGAAGCCACCCTATAATGAACTGGAGCTGTGCAAGAGCTCCAAAAAATATCTGTGGGGCTGATAAAGGGATTAGCCTGTTTTATCCCCAGTAGCCCTGTGAGGGCCAGTTGAGACATGATCTTAAATGTGTCTTTGCATTTTGTGTGCTGCTTTTTTAAAAACAATGAAAGTGGGGTGGGGTTGATAATGCCATCAGAGCAGACAGATACTAAGAATATTCTTCTGAAGCAGCAATGGAGGTATTTTTCTACAAAGCAAATATTGGCTTTGGAAAGCATTTTATCAGGATGGCAGCTGGATGGGGGAGAAAGGCTCTAATCCCATTAATGATTAGCCTCACTCCAGTTTGAAACATCTGCACATTGGATGCAAAGACACACTTAGTTTGGCCTTGAGAGTTAAGGAGTTGCCTAAGGCTTCCCATAAATCTTCTTGGCTAAGTAAAGATTTGAATGTGTGTTTCTCTTCTCCACCACTTCAGAGCCCGATCCTTGTAGCCCAGTCCTGTGCATATTCACTCTGCACATGTGAACCTCTGCACAACCCATTTACTTACTTCCTCCATAAATGTGCAGAGGATTCCTCTAAATATGAGGACTGAAGTGCAGCCTGCTTTCTCTGGTTTGGTGCAGGCGGGTCTGTGGAGTAGAGGAATGGTTTTATTGTGTCCTCACACCACAACAAACATCTTGCATCCATTCATTATAGCAACTAGAGCACAAAGAATTGCCAAAATTGGCTGATTACAAAGAAAAGCAAAAAGAAAAAGAAAAAGAAAATCTTTAGCAACCACCAACAAATGACTCAGGAGCCAAAAAGAGTAAAACGCCTGGGTTTTCCAGCAGCCTCTGTTCAACACACAAAGAAGCCCTTGTTTTCTGTTTGGGGGTGCTGTTGCCTAGTCAAAGAACTCAAAACAGTTGCTTGGTGACTTGGAAGACTTCTAGCTGAGCACAGCACAAAAAGCCTTCTGTCCTTAACTAGTTCAAGTTCCCTTTTCAGTAGTTTTTCAGCATCAGCAGTGCCTGTCTGTGCAACTATCTAAACTTCGTTATACAAGTTCTCCCCCCCCCCAAAAAAAGTGAAAAGAAGCACTTGTCTTACTCCAGTTAGCCATTCTTATCTCCTCCATGGTTTCAGGGGGGATTTCCTTCCAGGTAAATACATTTACGGTATGTTTCTTGCAATAACAGTCAGCAGCTTTGGGCTGTCCCATAATTGCGTAGTATTGCACATTTTAACATTTTTCATGTAGTAAAGCTTAAAATGGTACCAAACCTAGTACAAGTATATGTAGCCTGATTCAGCTGAAGTTCAGCGCTTTGGCCCCATTAATGTCAGGACTGTATCGTGTGCTTAATTCTCCCATTGGAGTAGAGCAATGGGATCTCCATGAGCTGAACGGAAGTCTCCCTGAAAGGCAGTTTTCAGTCTTCTGTCACAGTCTGGCATGACAAGCAAGGGAGCTTAGGACGGGGTGATGCAGCTGCAGGCCTCATTCCCAGGGCTGCCACAGGAGCCTTTCTACTTTTCCTCAGATGGAGGAATGATTGGCATTTCTTCTGACTGGGAAAATGTACTTGGGATCAAGGTTGTGGGAAAGAAAAATCTTCAGTCAGGTGCTCTTCTCTGGTGGGAAACCTCAGGGGGTTATCTGGCTATAATTTATCTCCATTCCAGAATGCCCAAGAAACCGGGGGTGCCAATAAGGGGCTGAGCCTATACAGACAAGGACCCATTAAGTGACGTGGGGCGAGTCATTGGGCTACGTGGTCTGGGGGACAGCTGAAGAGAGACAAATTGTATCTGACCCCCCCCCCCGAGGCGCCATTCTTTGCTTCCCATTGACTCTTCCCTCTAGGAGAAAATGATAGCCATTCAAACTTATGGCAACATGGCATGAGGTTGTCCCTTTTGATGAGGAGACCATGAGAGTGGCTCTGTCCATTTGGGTCCTGTGATTATCCCTCAAGAAGGGCAGGCCTTCTCTTCACTTACCTTGCTTGTTGTAACGCTGAGCATTTTTATTGTTTGTATTGTCCACCTGTGCTTACCCCACAGCCAAAAGGGTCAGTTTATGCTCACATGTTTGCATTTACTGTACATTTACTATGCTTGTGTACTGCATAACAAGTTGAGAGTGAAGCAGACTCGCATTACAACACATATTGTCTCAAAACTCCTTGTAGAACTGTGGATAAATGAGTGTGCAAGCGGCATTGCTGTCAGTAGCAGATCTGTCCTGCTGGGGACCTGCATGTATGAAGATAAATGAATGAATGTTCAATGAATGTTGTTGGTGTTTGGGGTGGGGAGGGGGTCTCTCTTGGTGCACAACAAGGGATTTGTTGTATCCCTAATGATTGAAAACACAGAAACACGCATGTCCCTCTGCTAAACAGAAAGACATGAATTCATGTTTCACAGAGGGACTAAAGATGGCACATGTATAACTTCTGTGCTGACACAGGATGCAGTGCACTGGAAAAGTCCCCTATGAAATCTCCCTTTATTACAGTAAAGATTGTGCAGCAATATTTTCCAGTGTTTTGTGCCCATGCAGTCTTCATAGGCTGCTGTAAAACAAGGAGCACAACACAGACCAAGTTAACATTTAATTCCCTTTAAGGGACTACAGGTGCAATCCTGCACACCTTTACTTGGAAGTTAGTCTCATTAAACCCAGTAAAAATTTACTGCTCAGCTCACAAACAGAAGCGCTTCACTTTAGCTGGGCCATGTCCAACATAAGGATGTTTATTGGGGGCTGGGAAGGGAAGTATCACTAGGATGCTTATAACATTAACATTAACATTAACTTTTAATTAGTAATGTTCTGATTTACTATGGATGCAGTTCATATTAGTCATATTAATGGGTTTTCTCTCTCTCATTCCCTGCTTGTAGCATGTGACTTGCACCTTTCAGGTGTATTCTGTTCCTTGGACAAACCACATCAGCCTGAAGAGAAACAATTGCACCTAAACGCCTGTTTGCTTCATCATAGCTGTCCTGGTGGTCTTCTCCAGATTCAAGAAGAGCAATAATCCAGATGTATTCTCAAGCAAATGTTACTAACTCTGAAATTCTGACATATACTTACAGGATGCAAGCAAATCATGTAGTTTTCCTTTAAAATGTATTTTCTAAACTTTTTCTTTGCGATTTATCATTAGGTTTGTAATCAATGTTTTCATGCTGGATTAGTATGAAAAATAAAAACATACCTTGTCAGAGACTGAGGTTTTTAAAAGATTTGTGTCCCATATATATTCATTCATAGAAGAGTGACTAGTGGGGTGCCACAGGGTTCTGTTTTGGGCCCGGTCTTATTCAACATCTTTATCAACGACTTGGATGATGGACTCAAGGGCATCCTGATCAAATTTGCAGATGACACCAAACTGGGAGGGGTGGCTAACACCCCAGAGGACAGGATCACACTTCAAAACGACCTTGACAGATTAGAGAACTGGGCCAAAACAAACAAGATGAATTTTAACAGGGAGAAATGTAACGTATTGCACTTGGGCAAAAAAATGAGAGGCACAAATACAAGATGGGTGACACCTGGCTTGAGAGCAGTACATGTGAAAAGGATCTAGGAGTCTTGGTTGACCACAAACTTGACATGAGCCAACAGTGTGATGCAGCAGCTAAAAAGCCAATGCAATTCTGGGCTGCATCAATAGGAGTATAGCATCTAGATCAAGGGAAGTAATAGTGCCACTGTATTCTGCTCTGGTCAGACCTCACCTGGAGTACTGTGTCCAGTTCTGGGCACCACAGTTCAAGAAGGACACTGACAAACTCGACCGTGTCCAGAGGAGGGCAACCAAAATGGTCAAAGGCCTGGAAACGATGCCTTATGAGGAACGGCTAAGGGAACTGGGCATGTTTAGCCTGGAGAAGAGGAGGGTAAGGGGTGATATGATAGCCATGTTCAAATATATAAAAGGATGTCACATAGAGGAGGGAGAAAGGTTGTTTTCTGCTGCTCCAGAGAAGCGGACACAGAGCAATGGAGCCAAACTACAAGAAAGAGGATTCCACCTAAACATTAGGAAGAACTTCCTGACAGTAAGAGCTGTTCAACAGTGGAATTTGCTGCCAAGGAGTGTGGTGGAGTCTCCTTCTTTGGAGGTCTTTAAGCAGAGGCTTGACAACCATATGTCAGGAGTGCTCTGATGGTGTTTCCTGCTTGGCAGGGGGTTGGACTCGATGGCCCTTGTGGTCTCTTCCAACTCTATGATTCTATGATTGCTAAGAATAAAGTACCATTATTCAGTACTGGCTCATGTGATTACTAACAGTGAAAAAACCACAAATAATAGCTTTTGTCATATTTTCTGAGCATCTGTTCAGGCCCTACTCTTGCCACCAGTTGATCAGCCTATTCAAGACCACCTGACTGAATTGTGATGCCTTTGGAGATTAGAGTTTTCAGCCTTAGGAATTGCAGACCCAGTAGTTTTGCCAGGTTGGTTCTTGGGATGCCAGAATGAAATAATACGCAGGGCCATGCTAAGCATATTTCCATTAAAGTAAAGCCCACTGAGTTCTAGAGTCTTGGGGACTATACACACACCTCAGCTTCAAGTGGATCGCAAACCTCTTGCACCTTCATTAATTCCCCCTCATCCATTTGAGGTTTTCCTTCAGCTACTACTGCCCAACACTTTATCTCCCCCATCACCACCCAAAATAAATAGATAAATCTGGAGTTTTTCTGTCCTCTGGAAATCTGAAAAGGAGATCAGCACCATGGTGGGCATAGCAGGAAATAGCATTTCATGGGTGTGGACAGAAAATCTGGGTCTGAAAACATATTTCATCTGTGCAAACATTGCAGCTTTCCAAACAGAAATATTCCCTTCCCCTGTGCACTGTGAAGAGAGGTTGTCTTGACCCCCAAAGAGCCAGTTGGGGGCTGCAGGGGGACAGTGGGAGGAGCCCCTTTGCACAAGCCAAAGTCATTGTGGAGGTGGCAGGCAGGTGAATGCCATGTGATATTTGAATACAGTCCCATTTGGATATGAGCTGCCACAGGAGAAAACAATTGGGGGAAATGTGGATTTTGTGGGTCCTTTCCAATAAGGTTGCAGACTAAAAGCACACCTGGAAGTAAGTGTTGCTGAACACAATGCATATTTAATTTATTTAAGGCAGTTATACTCCACCCTTTAGCCAAACTTCAAACCTAAGAAGACACACACATATTGCTTTGTACATCATCGAGCCTACCTAGTGGCAGTGAAGGATGCAAAGGAAAACTACTTTCCCGCCTCCATTGCAGCCTCATTGTGTCGGCCAGCAGAGCTTTCTGGGTGGTGCAGGACCTGTTACCGCCTGGCCTAAAGGAAGTGGCAGAACCGACGGCAGCTCCATGTGATTGTTTGCAAAGCATTCTGAGGATAAAACCACTTGCCTCCATCGAGAACTTGCTTCCACTGTTACCGCAGATGAATCTCAAGGGGTGTGCAGAGCACAGTCTGGTCCTGTGGTGTTGGACTGCTTTGGTTGCCCTGTATGATGACCTTGGCCAAGACAGATACAGGGGAAACATATCCTCGTTAATTCTCAACTTCTCAGTGGCTTTTGATACCATCAAAAATTGTATCTTTCTGGAATAGCTGGCTGAGTTGGGGATACATGGCACTGCTTTGTGGTGGTTCTGGTCCTACTGGATGTTGTGTTGGATGAGTTTCAGCTGGTAAGGCTGGAGGATGTGAACAAGGTCCTTGGATCAGTCAGGACAACCACTTGCGCTCTGGACCCTTGCCCCTCATGAGGAAAGCTAGCAGGGAGGGGGCAGCTGGCTGGGTGATCAATGCCTCCCTACGAGACTGGATGGTTTCTGCCTGCTTGAAGGAGGTGGTGGTAAAACCACTCCTTAAGAAACGCTCCCTGGACTCAGAAAATTTAAATAACTACTGGCCAGTTGCTAATCTCCCCTACTTGGGCAAGGTTCTTGAGGTTATGAAACAGATCCAGGTCTCTTGGAAGAAACTGATTTTCTAGATCCATTTCAATTGGGGTTTAGGTCTGGTTTTGGCCCAGAAGGATCTAGAACATGTGCAGAGGAGGGCAACCAAACCTTACGAGGAACGGTTGAGGGAACCAGGTTTGTTTAACTTGGAACAGAGGAGACTGAGAGGAGATATGAGAGCCAACTTCAAATATCCAAAGGGCTGTCACATGGAAGATGGTGCAAGCTTGTTTTCTCCTGTTCTGGAGGCTAGAACCCAAACCAATGGCTTCAGGATACAAGAAAGAAGATTATGGCCAAAACAGCAGAGATAACTTTCAAAAGTGAAACAGCCTCTCTCAGGAGGGTGTGGACTCTCTTTTATTTGAGGTTGGGTGGGCACCTGCCATGTATGATCTGGCTGAGATTGGGGTGCCATTTCCTGGACATTCCCGGGATGTCAATGCCAGAATTGATGTCTAGGAGGAATTTCTAAAAAGTAGTGCTTTGTCCTGGATCTTATGCAAGTCAATTGAAAAATCAGGTGACTTTTTGGTGTGTTTTTTTAAAAAAACCTCAACAACATTTGGGGTGTCCTGGTCTTTACTTTTTGAAATATGGCAACCCTAACCCTTGGGATCCCTGTCAACTCTATGCCACTTTTCTTCAAAATTTGCATAGAGATGGGGAGGTGGCCTTCAATGGCCACATGATGGCACCAGAGAAGAGCAGTTAGTCCCAGCCAGGCCAGCCGAGGGGCCTTACTGCCTCCCCTCTCCGGAGTAGCTCTTGATGGTTTTATGTTTGGCATAGCTGGCATTCCTTTCAGGGCCCTGGTCTCACTTTGGAATTGTGAGATGGAAAGAACCATAGACATATCCTCTCCTGCACAATAGAGCTTGATTGGTTTCTTAATTTACTCAGGAGATAGTGGTAATTAATCAGGCAGGGAGATTTCTAAGTGCAGATGGCAGAAGTCTCACAGTGAATATGACCAAATAGAAGTACAAAAGCATTATCATATTTACTTTGTGACAGTGATTGCTGCAAAGCTTTCTCCTTCCCCAGCCCATCATCCCAACAGTTGTCTGGTAGAGGGTTTTCTAGGTGGTTATTACTTCCAGAATCTGTGGGATCAGAACAGCTCAACCAATGGAAGCCAGATAACTTTTCACCTCTGTCACATTGGGGTTTCTAGAAAAGGTTTCAGGATAATTAGTACAAAATCCTTTATACAGTATTAGATTGCAAATGAGCCGTACTTTAAAAGTACTTGTTGAGGATATTATTATTTTAATATGTCATGACAGCTAAAGAGGGTTGTTGACACTGGATATGCAAACTTGCCATTTTTAAAGCAACAGGATTTGTGCCTTTCACATGTTCCTAAAAAATAGGTTCATTGAATGATTGATAATGATATTTGCTCAGTATGTAAGAGGAAAAGAGATCTGGAAAGAGATATAGGTGCTCTTGACAGGTGAGCTTTGCATTGGTACCAAGAAAGGTCCTAGAACAGATAAACAGTTGGTCTGTGGGCACCCAAAGGGTGCTCATTAATGGTTCCTCATCATCCTGGAAGAAAGTGTCAAGTGAGGTGCCACAGGGTTCTGTCCTGGGCCCATTGTTCTTCATCATCTTTATAAATGACTTGGATGAAGGAATTGAGGGGAGGCTGATCAAATTTGCAGATGACACCAAACTGAGAAGGGTAGCTAATGCCACAGAAGACAGAATCAGGATTCAAGATGACCTTAGCAGACTGGAGAACTGGGCCCAAACTAACAATGAATTTCAAGAGGGGGAAATGTTAGGTTATACACTTAGGCAGGAGGAACTAGCTGCACAAATATAAGATGGGGGACACCTGTTGTCAAGTACGGGAGTTCCCCTCTCCCTTCTGGTAGCTCTCTGATAAGAATTAAGGAGCATTTGGTAGATTTATAATTTTTCTATTACAGTATCATGTTGCGGACGCAGACACAACTTTCTGCAAGCACAGCAGTTGCTCATTCTGACTCCTCCCCTCTACTTCCGCAGCAAGAAGTGCGCCAGTGGGATGTCCCTCCCCCGCTGCATTTCCTTTGTTCTCTGACACGCTCATACTTCTGAGTTCGGGGGAGGGAGTTCCCCCCCACTCTTGATTGATGTATCACCCAGCTGCTCCCTCCCTTCTGATTGCTTAGTTACTATCTCAAAGCTGGGGAGCTCCTCTCTCAATTGTGCAGCCTCTGTGTCTGCCTGCCTCCTTGCTTCTGGAGACGCTGGACTCAGGTGAATATTCCCCCTCCTCTTCTGTTAGGATCTGATCTTCCTGTGATTGCATTCCCTACTCTTTTGATCCAGTCCAGCCCCTAACATCTGGCTTCCCTGTAGCACACAAGAAAAGGATCTAGGGGTCTTAGCAGACCAGAAGCTTAACATGAGTCAACAGTGTGATGCAGCAGCAAAAACGTTAATGCAATTCTAGGCTCATCAACAAAAGTTTAGTGTCCAGATCATGGGAAGTGATAGTACCACTCTGTACTGCCTTGGTCAAACCACACCTGGAATTCTGTGTCCAGTTCTGGGCATCACAATTTAAGAAGGATATGGACCAGCTGGAATGCGTGTGGAGGAGGGCAACCAAGATGATCAGGGGTCTGGAAACCAAGCCTTATGGGGAATGGTTGAGGGAATTAGATATATTTAGCCTGGTAAAGAGGAGATATGATAGCCATCTTCAAATACCTAAAGGGCAGTCACATAGAAGATGGGGCAAGCTTGTTTTCTCCTGCTCCAGAGCCAGAGGGTAGGACTCAAACCAACAGATTCAAGTTACAAGGAAGGAGATTCTGACTAAACATCAGGAAGAACTGTCTGACAGGAAGGTCTCCCTTGGGAGGTGGTGGACTCTCCTTCCTTGGAGCATTTTAAGCAGAGGTTGGGTGGTCATCTGTCAAGTCTGATCTAGTTGGGATTCCTGCATTGCGGGGGTTGGACTAGATGACAATTGAGGTACTTTCCAACTCTACAATTCTATGATTCCATGATTTGGCTTGAAATATGAGTGGGGACACTGAACCCCTTTTCCTGAATGGTGTCCCTGAGCAAAGCCCCACCCCACAGCTCACCAAGACCCTGTCACAGGAAATTAGCCTTGGAACAATGGGATTTATAGCTGCTTCTGCATTTGCCCTTTTCCCTTAGCTGAATGTACTTGGGAAACACTTCAAGGGATTCCTTGGAGAACCCTTCTAGAAGCATAATAATGGACAAGCCCAGACATCAGGCCCCAAACTTACTTTAAACAATACAGTTGAAGGAGACCCGAGTGATTTC